GTACCACCAACCTTTATCACATCAGTGCCAGACACGAACACAGGACCAGACTGAACACTTAGTTAATATGAAGTTTGTAAGATTTCTAAATCTAAAATATCTCTTTAGTTTTGCAGGGTTGAGGTGTCACTTGCGGTCACATTATATCGCATACACTCACATGAATGAACACAGTTAAGAGTAAATGACTATTGGCAACCAACAGAATCTTAAACAGTCGTGTGGCTGCCATCTGATGAAATATACACCAATGAAGCGATGGGCGTGGTCGGCAGTTAGTGTCCTCTTTTCCCTGGACATGTCCTCTTTTTGGGGGGCTGTCCAGCTTTGTGTGGGGGAATTTAAAAAATCCTTCAAATGTCCGGGGTTTTGTGCGGAAGTTTCGAGTTTGTGTCACGTGGACTTACTGAGTTAAAAGCGCATGAAAGACACTCGATCCGACCCAAAAAACTCTAGAAATTAACTACACGCTACTCCGTGATTCCGCCCCCGCGTAGTTGTGTCCTCTTTTTGGGGATTCAGTATATGGTCACCCTAGTAAATTGACATTCGCAGACGTGTTCTTTGACGATGTTCCAAAGCAACAAATTTCCATGTGGTTGACATGACCGTTTAAATTTTTATGAGCGGACTAGTTTATGAGAAAGAAAATACTCAGACAGCAATTGAACGTGGGCAAAATATGTTTAACACGGCTAAACAGTGGTGTTCACGAGTCAAATAGTTTTAGTGCTTATAGTTTTATACCCCGTACAACCTGCAGACTTCTTTATTTCTGTTTATTAATGCTGACGAACTGCCCCATCTGTTTTCAGTGCCTGTTTCCATCCAGGTATTAGAGCATTACAGTGTTATAACAAAAACCATAAACTGGACTAAACTAATGAAGGTTCATTAAACCTCATTATAAGTAATTCTGGAGTCAGCTAGCAGGGTGATGGTATTAAATCTTACTAGTACTTTAAGGCCCCGTTGTTACGTATCTGGTTGTTTTTAAAAACTGAGACATTAACCATCGTTTGCACCTTTCGTTTAGATGCAAACTGAGAATTCGCCCCTGAAAATGATGCTTTTTAAAAACTCCGGCCAGAGTGCAGATTTTGGAAAACTCTGTTTACACATTTGCATGTAAATGGAGAAAAACAGAGAATTGGGTAGCCGACGGCAGATTGTGCGCCGGAAACTGGGTTAAATGCGACGTTGCTTTCAATCTATGGTGATCATGGATACACGCAAAATAGCAGTCACACCTATACTGGTGCAATCTCTTTATATTTGTTTGCATTTGCATTTGCATCTTTTCCAAAAGAAGGAAGAAAAGTTTTGTTGTTGCTGCTATACGGGATTCTGATTGGCTAACATGGGCTTGAGCTTCTCGCTACACTGCCACCTACAGGTTTGGCATGCTCATGACGGCATTTATACACGGGTTAGTGTAAACGAAAACTTCTCTGAAAACGTTGTGGGTTTTTTTGTTGTTGTTTTTTGTAAACGGAGCGGGTGAAATGTCCTTTCATGAAAATAGCTGGGCTCGTAAATGTACTCTCATACAGTTAACGCCATGGTGCTTCATGTGGCTTTTTTTTTTTCCAAGTAACTGATTATGAAGTTCAACAGCAGTCACTCACTGGAGGACATGGTGCCTCAGGAGTAGGAAAATATTTCCACTGAGCAATAAACGGCTATTAGTCGTCTAGTTTTTTTTAGACCTAATTTCAACCGTCTAGATTTTGTATATTTTTAGGCGGAATTTAGACATTGCACTTTAACCCATTATTCAATAATTATTTATTTTAAAAAGAAACTGTGAGTTGCGTAACTGATCTTCAAGTACTCAACCAAAATGATTATGATAGCCATTGAGCAATAAACAGTGTAGTATAGATATAGCCCCAATTTAGATTTAGTCTAAACTTGTTCTAAATTTAGAGGTCTAAAAAACTTTTATTTTTAGACCTGTGGTAGTCTGATTTTAGACCAGTCGTCTAGGCTACATTTAGACATCTATTAGACCTCTTTTAGACCAAAAAATGCTCAGTGGGTTGAAATGTAAATATGACACACACAAAACAAAAAAAGGAATAAACAAACAAAACAACTCAGATCAGTAAACAGGCACCACATGCAGACCGCCAAAAGAAGTCAGCTGTTGAAACCTCTTTTTAAGCAAACATACTTCATTTTAGATATCTATTGAATCAAATAAAATATCGAGTCTTTTAGTAACTGTTATTAAATGTGAGTAGATCAACTCTCTCATCTGTTGTTTCTCTTTAGAAGGACTGTAGTAGTAAAAGATTTAGTTTTATGTTAGCTAACACTTCTTTTTTGGACTCACTTTTTGTCCTCATGCGTGTTTGGAGAAGGTGTGCAGTCGTTTAACACGCTATAGAGTCTTTATGGTTGCATAAAGCAGATTCTCTGTTGCTCTTTTAGAATTTATTACAAATTCTTCCGAGCTATCTGCCTATTTTATTACCCCTTTGTGTTTCCTATATATGTACTGTATAGAGCCGACCAGGAGGAGACCTAACGGTGGGAGTTCAGGCAGGGTTCACATGTATGGCTAACTTGTTCCAAATGAGTGTGAGGAATTCCTCGCTCTCCTTATTAACCAAACATCACCTTGTCAGACCCTACATGCCTGTTCAGAGCTCCTCCCCGTGCCACACATAATGAGATGAGTATCTCAAATCAGCTTTCTTTAATTAAACTTTCAACACAAAGTATAAGCTTTTCACCAGTCCCCTCCTAAGAGCGCATTTTATACGCTCTCTGTCTATCGTGATCAAATAATTCCCATGAGGAAGCGATTACACATTTGGATAATTCCAAGCAGATGTGAAAATGTCTCAACAAGTTAACAAGGCTGTGGTGGAAGTGCAGGCCTCGGCAACACTGAGAGCATCTGTCTGCTGAGCTTCGAGCTTCGGCACAAGAGGTAAACTGTGAATGGAGCGAACACGGTGGTAAACCAAGACCAATTTCTCACCACTTTTTGTTTCCCCTGCACCCGCAAACTCCCTCCCTGAAATCTTCAGGTGGAAACCTCTCTCCCTGACCACTGTTTTGTTTTTACAAAGTCATTTTTTTTCTTCTTTTTTGCTAGGTGTAGTTTCACATTTTGACCAAGTTCATAGCAACCATTATAGGATCAAAAACCCAGTTCTTTTTAGCATCCTGCTTATTGTCAACAAAGAACAGACTTTCCCTTCAACGCTAATAAACCCTGAAAATGGAAAACGCTTCAGGATAAAGCTGAGATTTATTTTTGTTTTTATTGTAGATTAAGATTTCAGACTATACAGATCATAAAAACCGAGGAATGCAGAATTTGTCTGTTTTTAGTGTTGCAAGTTTATCCAATAACTACTTTCTTTTTTCTTTGCTCTTATACTCGTGGAATTTTTTTTTTCTTGCTCCTGCGTCTATACTTGCTATGCTGCCCATGTTTTCCTTTTTGTATTTTATGGGAAAGTATACACAATGATACATACCAGAGGTTTACAAGCTTAGCAGACATGTTCTTCAGACTGTTTTTACAGCGAAATTTAAAAAAACACACTATCTTATCATAATCTACACCATTCACTAAGACAAATGAGCATTATTTGGTCGCATTTAAAACTCCACAACCTCTTAAAAGGCGGCATTTGAATATAAAGTTTAAGAATAGATAAATGTTCATACACAGTTAAAGCTTTTACGTTTCACCTTTGTTCAGCTCATATAAAGATAAAACCTAAATTGGCGATGCCTCCCATCAAAGGTGTTTCTCTTTGTACTCCTCACTGTGAATAGCTGAACATTGTGTAAAGAGAAAATAACATGTAGATAGGAAGGGAGAGAGGGGGAGAGAGAGAGAGGGAAAAGTGTTCACCTACAAGCAAAAAAGAAACTTTGGTAATTACCATAACACAAATAATGAGAGGCGATGTGGGGAAGTGTTTGAAGAGCGCTCCTGATCAAGATAAGATTGCAGACAGTATGGTTGAGGCTGAGGAAGTGTTTTTGTGTCTGCTGCAGCTGAGAGGAAACTTCAGTGACAGAGTTACTTATAGGAGCCAGACGCTTCTCTGCAGCCTGGAGAAGTAACACACACACACACACGCACGCACACACACACACACACACACACACACACACACACACACCACACAAACACACACACACACACACACACACACACGCTGAGGGGAGTTTAGGGTGTGATGAGGATACAAACTCAGAGTCACTTGTGGTCAAATTATAAAAGACTTAAAGCTGCATTAGAGGTATAAAACTATTCTTTGGAAGAGCATCCATATCACATACAAGTGTTGCGTTTTTTCCACAGAAGGGGATTGGAATTGCAGTCACCCACTAGGGGACATGGTGCCACAACATGAGGGGAATATAGTCATCCAAATATGAAAAGTTAAAAAACAACAAAGTGCCTTAAATGCTGCAGATTTTGGTGAAATTTCACTCAACAGTTCAAACTTTTTTTAATGATAAAGTAACCTGCAGCTGAAGTTTAAGTTATAATCTGACATGTTTTTATTCAATTCAAAATATGCAAAACTATTATGATATTGGTAACCAATTGTGCAATTAACCATCAATTTAAATCTGTGTTCCAGTTTAGAGAGTTAGGACATCAGTTTTCTAGAGATGTCTCAAACACAAGCTTATCCCCCAAAAATAGAAAGTAGGTCCTTCTTCTCTTTATGTGTGTGAAATAATTGTACAAACATCACACTCGTATTCAAAATGATGTAAAATGTCTGAAAATCTGAGTGTAAATGTCTGTGCACAGAGAAAACTCCCCTTTTTCTCGCCTGTAATTACGAACAGCTCCATGACAAATGAAAAGCAGGCTAATAATGATGAGGATAACAGAGGCAAGACCTTCTTCTGCTGCAGAACCAATGACACTTAAAGGGACAGGAGATTATTAGCTTTATTTGCGTGTCTGTGAGATTTTAAAAACATACCTGTTGTAGCTTTAGAGGGGTGAAATTTTATTTATTTTAATATTTTTTAAACGAACACGCTCTTAGTTAGAGAAAGGTGCTTTTGTCTGGCTTCCACATGATTGATGCTTGACTTAATCCAGCGCTCTTTGCGCCTTCCCAGGAGGGTGAGGCGCTCTCTTTGTGCTCCTGCGTCCCATGTGAAGCGAACCAAAGCGGGAGAGTGAGGGTCAGAGCTGTTCGGCAGGGTACCAGATCCTTCCCACCGGCACATCTGCATGTGAAATCGCCATTTCACCCCTCCACACTCCCTAATTGTTGCTAAAATTATTTGTGAAATTGCCTTCCACCAGGAGTGTTTTCCACGGCAATTGTCACACGATTTTATATGCACGGTGGGCCCACAGAGTTGACACATGCACCTCTTCTTTTTCCTGCCATATGTGCGCTTTTTATTCCACTTTAATAGCCGAGCATTATTTTTTTGAACAATTACCTTTTATGCAATTACTCCCGTGCGTACTCGAGGGCAGGGCAACCTGTTGTCATCAATAGCGGGTCGATCCAAATGTTGTCATTACCACAAACAGCAAAAAGGAGCGATTTAGACGTTCATGCTTTCTTAATTGAAAGGTTAACAAGGCAAAAGCATCTTGTAGTCGAACCTTGGACAGGCTTTTGGAGCTTTTACGCAGCGTCTGTCCACCCAGGAAACACCATTATTTTTATTTACATGAAGCAGCATTGTTTTTTTTTTTTTACTTTCTGCATTTATTTGTGATGATTTTCTTCAACTTATTCACAGATCTTTTGTCAGAAATCATATTATAACGGAAATATATTTTTTTTATTTTGATACTTTGAGAGAAAAAAATCATTTCTTTTCTCTAGTTTCTCGTTCCTGACTCCAAGAATCCTATATATTTTTAACTTCTTCTATTTCGGTTTTATCAATTTGATAAAGTGCATTAGAAAGAGGAGTAGAAATCCCGTTTTGAAGCATTAATATTCCACGGGTTTAAGCAGCTGAATGTCACCGAAGCGCACAGGTTTGTTAAAGAGTCCGGATTTAAAGTAACATTTAGACATAATAAGAGTCAGAGCTGCTGCAGGTTTTCGGTGTATGGAGTCTCATGAGGGGAGGCAGGGGTGAATTAAAAGTGGAATGTGAGGCTCTGATTGGTCAGAGCGGCCTGTGGCTAAACCCACTCTCTTTCATCCATAAAAGAAAGGCCGGGGAGCCTATGGGAGCGCGCGTCTGTCTCCTCCTACGACATGCACGAAAGTTGGCCACTTAAACTACTTCCAACCAGGCAGCAGACATTATCCTGAACCCAAACTAAGCCAGGGGAAAAGAATAACAGTGCGATCCTGCAACTCCCGACATACAACTTCGAGTCCAACTGCGCTATCCTGCAGATTTTATCCCCATTTGGCTGCTGTTGTCTGGTTTGATTTTGGCGTCGCAGCAGAGAGGAGCATCACTTCTGTTTTTCCCCCAGTGGAAGAAAGGCTAGTCCGGTTTCTCCGCCTGGGATTGGGATTTGACAGCAGACTTTTTTTCTTTTTTTTGACCACATTTTTTTCTCCACCACCTGGACTTTGTGAGAGTATCAAGTTCGAGTACATTTTCTTGTTGTTGTCAGTAGCTACATGATGGCTACTTTACCCGGAACAGTGCCTCGGATGGTGCGCCCTGCGCCAGGCCAGAACTATCCCCGAACCGGCTTCCCTCTGGAAGGTAAGAGCAATGACAACATGTGTGTGTGAAAGAAGTGTGTGTGAACTTGTTTACTGTGACAAAACTCATCAGCTGTGCACTATGTCAGCCCGTGTGACAGTCACACACACAGTCACACAGTTTGATATAGAGGCGACATGCTGGGAAATAAAAAGGTGGGTGAACAAATTGGAGCTCCAGTCAGATGATTAAAGTTAACAGCTTCAATCAGGAGTGATGTATGGATGCAGGAAGGAAACTGGATTTACCTCCAAATAAAACCACAACACAGCCAAATAAATACTCATATTCCAACTTGATATACTTACAAATAGCATGAATGTATAATTTAGATTTTAGGAGAACAGGTTGGTATATTTTTAGGAAATGTAATGAACGTACAAACTCCATCTTCATTATTTTTGTTTGTTTTTATTAAAGATATTGTCTGATTTTTAAAAATATTTACAACAATTTCATTTTATGTATTCATGTCATTGTTTACCAAACTTTTCCAACTCTAGTGCAGTTAAATTTTATCAAAAACAAACACATATTTTTGTACTAATCTAAATCAAAGCGATAAAACATAAAATGATTAATGATTATTTTTATAATGCACTTTGATTAACTATTCACAAACACACACACACAAACAAAATAGGACACCCTGTTTGTATTATTTCCCCTAACTTGTTTGCCCACACACTCGCACTCCGGTCCTGTGCACATATGGGCGGAAAACAGCTCCCTTTGTATTTGCATGCGCATTTGGGGGAAACAGTTTTCCCATTACGCCCCGTTCGTGCTCAAGTACTCTGGACCGAAATGTAGAAAAACCACGTAGCTCGCGAGTTCCTCGAGCTCCGGGATTTATTCAAGTGTCCTGCTGCTGGAAATGGCTTCAATACACACGGCAAAAGAGACGACTCAAAGGATCACATCAATATTTGTACAGCATGACTAGGAATAATCAAGGTGGGAAGTGTCAGCCTCTTCAGTGTCTCTTGAATGTGAAATTGGACGCTCAAGTGGCCTCGGATACATCCTGTCAGACAGACACAGACAGGCAGACGCTGGCTGAATTTGGCACGAGGCTCTCTTGAAAATGTATAATATGATAATGTGAGTAAACTGCGCCCCATTAAAAGTCAGTCACATTGCAAACATGCCGCTGTTTGACTGTGACACCTTAAAGTAAGCACATTTCAAATCTCGTGAGCTTTTCTTCTTGTTGTTTTTCTTTTTGAGAGTTTTATTATTTTTATTTATTTTTTATTATTGTGGTGCAGTGTCCACCCCTCTAGGCCAGGGGAGGGTGAACCAGCTTGGCGGCGTGTTCATCAACGGGAGGCCCCTGCCAAATCACATCCGACACAAGATAGTGGAGATGGCCCACCACGGCATCCGACCCTGCGTAATCTCGCGACAACTGCGAGTTTCTCACGGTTGTGTCTCCAAGATTCTGTGCCGATACCAGGAGACCGGCTCGATCCGTCCGGGGGCGATCGGAGGCAGCAAACCCAGGGTAAGTGGGGTCCAGGGGACGTGGGGTGAAGACACCTGAGTGGCTAAAAAATATATATTTTATTTATTTTTATTTTTTTAAATGTAGGGACAGAAAATTAATAATAATAATAATAATAATAATAATAATAATAATAATAATAATAATAATAATAATAATAATAATAAACAGCCCACCTGTAACATCTTTCCTTATTGCTTCACTTTCTACTTGGTACTTTTTTTTTTAACAAGCATTATTTTACATCATAAATCCTAATAAAATTAAAGGTATATGAGAAATAAAATACAAAGATATTTAAAACCGATTACTTAACCGATCACTTAAACCGATAAATTTTCGGTTCTAGTCGGTAAATTTGCCATATCACAAATAAAGACAGATATCATATTTATCTATATTTGGCTCCTTTTTGAACATGAATTCGTTTTTGTCATTTGTTGTTGTCTTCTTTAATTTTTTTCATTATTATTAACTTTTTTATATATGTTCAAATAAACTTCAATCAACCGATCACTTTTCGATTTCTCGTTTTTTTTTGCAACTTCTCCCGATCTTCTTTCAAACTCACCTCGATTAATGCTTCCCCCCACCTCTCTCTTTTTTGTGTCTTTTTTCCCCCCCCTCCTCTGCCGTCCTCGCTCCACTTCCACCCTTCAGCAGGTGGCAACTCCTGACGTGGAGAAGCGGATCGAGGAGTACAAGCGAGAGAACCCGGGGATGTTCAGCTGGGAGATCCGGGATAAGCTGCTGAAGGACGGGGTGTGCGACAGAAGCACGGTTCCTTCAGGTGAGGCTTCATCTGGTAAGCTGCACTTTTTTATTTATTTTTTAATTTTGTATTTTTTTATAATCCAGCACTGCAGCATCACTTCTCAGTTACTGATAAAACCAAATGTCTCACATCAGTGTAGAAAGAAAGCTCACCTGAACTTGAAAACCTCACCTTGTTTTCTTGATTGATTTTATTTTTAATTTCTCCTCATGTCAAACTTTTCCTGTGCCATTTTTTTTACCCTTCAAAAATAAAATGTCTGACAGGATTATTCTGGTTCTTTTGTGGGTTTTAGAGCTAATCACCCATTTACCTTTTTGTTGCCATTAGTGAGCTCCATCAGCCGCGTTTTGAGGGCCCGATTTGGCAAAAAAGATGACGAGGATGACTGTGATAAGAAGGATGAAGATGGAGAAAAGAAAACAAAGCATAGCATCGATGGCATCCTCGGTGATAAATGTAAGTTAACAGCAGAAAGTATCTGGCCCTTTTTTCTACATATGTTTGAGTCATAAATAATCATTATCACTATTATTACTATTATTATTATGCAGAGTAAATTGCAGCCTTGTAAACAGGAAGCGCTTGTTTGAAATAGACTTCCCACTTTTACGTCCTCTTGGGAAATTGTCCCACATCCGAGCTTTCAGCTAAACGCAGAGAATTTATTCGTGCTTTTAACTCCGAGCCAGCACTTGTTCATTCACTCAATTATTTATGAGAGCCTTTGGCAGAAGGTATTTAAGTGCAGAAAATTAATTTGTGTAGCGAATTCCTCCTCATTCATTCACTCATTTAACGACCCCTAAACGACAGCTGACAGTTGACCCATTTCACAATCGATGTCAGTTCACTGACATTTCACCACTTGTCACTTAAAGTGGAAATCAATGTTCATATTATTATTTGCTCTATTAGTAATGCTGAGAGGAGGGAGGAATACGTGGCTTTGATGCACGTATTGGTTGTCACTGTTTGTCAATAGAATTTACAAGCTTGTAATAACCTTAAAATGTATTGAGATCTCCTGTTGTATACGGTGTGTTTTGTATGGCTCATTTTTGCATATTTTAAAATACAACACAGAGACACACAACACATATGGGAACATTACAGGCAATTAGACTTTGAATTGAGATTTTCTTTTAATCCAAGATCCCTAAAAGAAGAGATTTTGTCGCATTTACCACTGAAAACTTTTGATTTTTTTGTCATATCTTCTGTTTTTCCTCTTGCTTCAATGCGCAAAGGTTTTCCCCCTCCTTTTTGATGATCAAACATGAGTGAATGGGTTTTAGATAAGATTTCACAAAAGCCTCTCACTCAAAAAAAAAGAAAGAAAAGGAGACACTGCCAAAAATTTTTCAAACTTGAAGATGAACTTCACGCGCAACAAACCTCCCCTCCCTCCATTGACGCTTTTCTAAAAGTGAAGAGTCCGAGGTACAAAAGCAAATCCTGGAAAGCAGAGAGAAAAGGGGAAAGTATGGGCCCGTCCTTTCTCATTCAAAAGGCGGGTAAAAGGAGAGAGAAAAGTTTGGACAAAGGGCACGGAGAGACATAAAAGGAGATGAATTATTCAGTACGCCCCGCTGTTAGATAGTTTTGTAATTTTCTATAATGGCCCTTTGGAGAAGAATCAGTTGATAGCGTGAAAACAGTCTCTTTTTCAGTCACACCACGCATTAATGTTAGAAGAAAAATGTCCAAATTTTGTTTCAAATATCCCAGAGCCCGTGAGGATGGTCTGTTAACCCTGCTGGCTTTAGATGGATATTATTTCTCAGTCTTGAGTGTGCTCGTTGCGCACAAAACAGCCGCGTAAAAGCGAGGATGTGCATGCGTAATGTGATATTTTGACATGTAAACTGTTGACTATTTAAGTGCTGCATTGTTATCGACTTTCAACTCTTAAATCCACAAAATGTCCCTGTTTCTATTTTCTCTCATTGCTGCTTGTGTTTTAAATCAGGGCTCAATTACGTTGCTATAAAAAGAGCCGCACCGTGTGCGTAATGCAGTTTATACCAGCATGCGGATGGCATCTAATAATGTTAATACTTATTAGAGTAAGCGCTGGAAACGACGCTTGCTGAATAGGTGGCTGTGTTCGTGCCGGGTGTAATAGCTCGCAGGCATGGTAAGAAATGTATTTATCCCCAATCAGCCCCTCACTCTCCGAGTTTGAAGCACAGCCCTTATGTGGAGAGGGGTTTTAAAGCAGATTAAATAGAGCCTTTTATTTCTTTTCACTTTCATCTCAGAGCGGAGCTCACAGTGGCTCGCCCTGGGCACAAAATTCATGAGATTTTTTTTTTCGTTTACTTATCCAGATTTTAAGACTTTATTTATTTATCTATTTGTTTATTAGGCTTGTGTATTTGATTTCCTCAGAGGTTATATCACGGATTTATCCCCGCTTTAATCTAGCTTTATTAAACGTGTATATAAACCACTAACCATGTTAAAATAATTTCTATTTTATTTAGTAGTTCAGATTATTTCTCGGAGGGGTATAAAGTGGATGCAGCCATAACTTAAAAATAGTTCCACCTTTCATTTTCCCTCTGTATTGGATCTTGATTTATTGTGTCAATTGTAAAGAGTCTGATAACACAATTTAGGTACAATGGTCACATACTTGGGGGTACCTTTTTTTTTCCTCCCAAAATCAAATCACGCGCTACAAATAGGGGAAAGGTTGCACAACATCTGTGCAAAATTGGGCATCCTTTTGTTTCGCGCCACGCGGCTCAGTAAGAAAAGGTGAATCAGCTGTCTGGCATCCATCTGCCACACAAATGTAACCAACCTGACTGTCAGCTGAGGTGCAGACAGGCGATGGACACTCCAGCAAATCGCAGGATTACCTGAGCTCCTCAATCTAATTAAACAGATGCCAGGTGGGATTAAACCCGCGCGTCAGGGAGGGAAAGTGACAGAGCAGCGGAGAGGTGTGAGGCAGTCAGACACACCAGAGATCCCGGTTAAGAATGGCTAAAGAGGGCTTCGTGAGTTGCAAGGAGAAAAAAGGCTACAATATAAAAATGGTTTGCAAATTCACGTCGAGAACCCCCCACTCCCACTCCAAATAATAAGTTTATTGGAGAATATCAACCACCCAAACAAAGAAATAGTAAAAGCCTGATTTATCTTGTTGTTAAGGACAAACCCGGCATATAGTGAGTAGAAAGCTGCCCCCTCCACGCTTTACAACGCCACTTACTCATATGCGCACACTGCACGCACTGGCACACACACTTTCCCTTACGCGCACGCCCAGTCTCTAAGTGTATGGTAATATAATGTAGCTATATTTCGGGTCTAAAGCCGTGCTGAATGAGAAGGACAGGGGAATGAAGCGAGAGACCACTTCAAACAAATCCATCTGGAACAGTGTGTGAGAGAGATTCAGTGAAAGTATGGGGAAGTTATTTAGCTATTAATAACGTTTTTTCCTCAGGCATTGAGAGTGACTCCATCTGCACTTTCTCGCAGCTATTTGGCTGGGTGGAAATTGAGGGAGACCCAAATGTTGGGCAGAGATAACATACCCATCATAGCCCAGACCCTGCGCTGTGCTTCACTGCATTAAACTCGGATTAACCTCCCCTGTCCCCGCAGCCACTCAAGCCACATTTCACTGGAATTTACATCGGTAGGCCTACATTTCATATAAAGGGGGCAGGGGCTAAAAGACACGCCATTATTATTATTATTATTATTATTATTATTATTATTATTACGTAGGCCTACAGCCAGTAATTTAACATCTGGAAACACATGGGCTACAGTTGATCAAATTTAGGGCAACATTTTTATTGTTAAGTTGCATAATCTTTCAATTTAAAGCTTTCTGTCAGTACCTGCACATCTCAAATGCAGTGTAGGCTACAGGTTTTTAATTTTTTATCCAAAATATCCAAAAGCCAACGTAAAATCCACTCTTATCCCAGTTTGTTCAACAACCAGGCTTTAGGACGGTCCCTTAAAGGTTCCTTGGCGTCTCCTTTGAACACACCTAGCGATGTATTTTTCCTTTCTATCATGAGTCAGATTAAAACTGTACCTTTATAAAACTTTAAAGTTTATAACAGATATAAGCTAGCTAGTAATTAATATGGGCTAGCGAACCGTTTTTCTTGTGACAGTTTAAGTCTTTTAAATGAGTAAAAACGAGCTAAATTGGGATTTTAATCCAGCTAACAGATCTTTTGTTGCCTAGCCTCCAATATTAGCCTAGGTTAAACAGGTTGTAGCTATTTGTGTGTTTTTTTTTTTTTTTTGTGGCTGTATTAAAGTGATTCAGAAAGAGCGGAAGTTAGCTAGCTTACTGAAGTTAGCTCAGCTACGATCGTTATGTTACTTGGCAACCGTTGGTCTACGGACGTTTTCAGTTCACGGGCGGAGTAAAGAGTTTATTTTTTAACTTCTATAATGTATAATATTGTGTATATATAAGTTTATATGAATATGTAAGTGTATAATAGCGTTTTTATACTCTAAACAAAGATGGCATCGCTTTTCTTCTCTCTTTTATTATTATTTTTTTACGAATCAAAAAGAGCGGAAGTTAGCTAGCTTACTGGAGTTAGCTCAGTTACGATCGTTGGTTGCTTGGCAACCGTTGGTCTACAGACGTTGTCAGTTTATCGGTGGAGGAGAGAGTTTATTTTTTAACTTCTATAATGCATAATATCGTATATATATGAGTATATATAAGTGTATATTATGTATAATATCATTTTTATACTCTAAACAAAGATGGCATCGCTGTTCTTCTCTCTTTTACGATTATTTTTCTATGATGTCAGGACAACTTCGACCAGGGTTAAAGATACGCGAGCCTGTTTGAACATTTCCACTCTTCAGTGACATTCAGCATATTTTTATACTCCAAAGTGGCAGTGTAATTTGTTGTTAATGACACATAGCTTTAAATTATGGAGGGGAGCTCCTTCCTCCACTGTAACAAATCAGCCTATTGGTTCCAGCAAGGTAACATGAGCGAGCCGTGCAACATAATAACATGAAACCCATTGCTTATGAGTAATGAGTAATGCATCAATTTTAAAGAGAGCAGTAAAAGCTTGTAGGCCTACCATGTTGCAGAGACGTTTCAGTGTCAGGGCTTTAAGTGTCGGCAGTATTAGGGCTAAATAAAAAATGGGGTAGGCTTAAATTCACTCTGTGCTGGCATTTGACTTTGATCACATCAGAAATATTCATGGAAGCACAAACACTGGCTCTGCCACTATTATCCAGGCTGACAGTGATACCTCTCAAGGCTGTCTATTAATTAAAGTGGCGCTTACCATGTGGGACGACTCCCTATCTGGGCACAAAAATGGTTTTTCCATCTCTTGTGGGGCTCTTGAAAAGGGGCAATCTTTCCTCTCCAGCTTCTTGTGGGAAATTTCAAAGTGTACAGAGGAAGACATGGGGATTTCTAGCTCATTTATAAAGACGAGTTTATAATCCTTTCCTGCTTAATAACTTAAAAGGATTCAATTTCTCCCCTCATTTATGGGGTTATGATCGCACATTGTTCGACGCAGATAGTAGCATTTCAAGGTTAACATTTCCTGCTCGAAAATATCAGAATAAGCTGTAAGCCCATAGGTGCCCTTTGTTTAGCCTGCAATTTCCACCACAAACGCTGATAGGCCCCCCTTTTAGATGTTGTTACTTTTAATGTGATAACAACGAGGACGACCAGTCGATAAGATGCCACCGAGCATTTTCAAATGATATGATATTTAATTATAGCATATAATTTCACCATCGAGAATTAAATTCAGTAGGCTTACGCACACTCTGAGGATTGGATGTCTGGTTAGGGGGTCCCAAACCATATGAGACAAATTAAAGAGGAAGCGTTGCCCTCCAGGTATCCTGCCACACACAACAGTAGGGTGCTGCATTTCTGTCTGTGTTTTATTCCACCAATTTTCACTCGTGGGGCTCCGGGATCCTGCGCTGCTTTGCCTGCAGGCTGAAGGCCAAAATAAATAGAGAATCTTATGTTTCATCGTTTTTGGTCGCAGCTGAAGTCTCTCTCTCTCTCTCTCTCTCTCTCTCTCTCTCTCTAATATGCATCACAGTCATATCAACAGGTTGGTTTATTAGCGACAAGATTTGTTGCTGTTCAACTTAATTAATTTGTTCAATCTGCAGAATTTTGGGGTTGAATTGAGAAAAAACTTGGTGTAAATCACTTTCAGTCAAGTTTTCAGAATAATTATCAGTTTATAGCCGAGCAAACAAAGTTAACATAGACCCACAGTTTATTTATTGGTGGACTAGATGCTTGTTAAGTAGCTTGATTGATTGATTTTCTTATGAAATTATACTGGGACATGGTCAAATGGGCAAGTTTTATTTTTAAAGAGCATTTATTATTATTATTAGTAGTAGTAGTATTATCATTATTATTAGTATGGATATTATTATTAGTAGTAGGCTATCTTTATTACTTTTAGAAGCTAAAGTTCTATATAATATTATTATTCTTTACTTTTATAATAATAATAATAATAATAATAATAATAATAATAATTATTATTATTATTATTATTATTATTATTATTATTATTATTATTATCATCATTATTATTATTATTAATATTATTACTATTAGTAGTAGTAGTAGTAGTAGTAGTAGTAGCAGTAGGCTATCTTTATTATTATTTTTAGAAGCTAAAGTTTAATATTATTAATATCATCATTATCATCATCATTGTAATCTTTATCATTATTATTATTATTATTATTATTAGTAGTAGTAGTAGTAGTAGTAGTAGTGGTAGTAGTAGTAGAAGCTATCTATATATATATATTTTTTGGAGGCTACATTTTATTATTATTGATATCATCATCATTATTATCAGCTTTGTCATTATTATTATTAGTAGTAGTATTATTGTTAGTGGTAGTAGTAGCAGGCTATTTTTATTATTATTTTTAGAAGCTAAAGCTTTATTATTATTAAAATCATCATTATCATTATTATTTTTATTATTATGGTTCCAAGTAGTAGTAGGCTGTCTTTATCATCATTGTTAGAGGCTACATTTTTATTAATATTATTATTATTATCATCATCAATATTATTATTATTGTTATGGGTGTGGGGTCTGTTTTATTTGTTTTTCTGGCCCTCTCACATCTCCACAAACATTTACATTTCCTCTCCAGCCGTCTAATGTGTCCCCTAAATTGGTGCGCCTTTGTTAGCGCTTGGTGTTTAATTGGCTGGAAGAAGCTGAATGAGGCTGACAGGAATCAGCTGTCCACAGATTCCCCTGTGAGTCTGACTCGGAAATCATAACCTGACCAGCTTTTCCTCCGCTGCAACCAGCTCGTTGAACTTGTCACATCTAATTAGGGTGTTAAAACGCGCCGAGTGCATCATGGGAAACAGTAGGTGGTGGGTCCGGGGCAGCCAATAAGGCCTTTTTGGGTCATATGGTGGAGGGTGGAAGAGGGGGGAAAGTGGGGCTGAGTAGCGTGGTTGGATGCTGAAGTTGTTGAATTGGACCGCTGCGGGCTTTTATTTTCTAAAGCAGGCCCTTTTTTCCGCTATTACTTCAATTATGGCCATGCAGCGGGCTACACAGGCCGGCCTGCACGGGCCGTATAGCCTTGTTTTAATTAGGTATGAAATTAATTACAGCAGACATCTTCTAAAGACTTTTAAGTTTGGCTCATTTTTTTTCCACAGAGTTTAAAGGTGTAACAGTGGATTAATGGCTTACTGCCAAAATTACATTTTATTGCATCCCGTCATTTGTGTGCAGCCTGTCTAACAGGTGTCAGCCAATAACCGAGTTCAAATGCTAAGTTTGGCTGAATTTATGCAAGCAGATTTTTTGTGTGTGTGAGTAACTTGTTTTTTCAGATTTAACAATTAAAAACAAAGATGGTTTATTCACAATTTCTCTCACTTTTTCTGGAACATGACATGAATTGGATTCAGTATTCTTCCTTTATTATAACACTTACACTTTTTTTTTATTTGAACAACTTTGACCTTCCTTAAATTTTGTCATTCCTGGGCTGCTTAAGTTTGTCCAAACTTTCTGCGCAAACAATCCTTTTCTACTCCCGTTTTTTGAGTCCTTTTGCTCTCTTCTTTATTTTCCTTTCTGTTGTATTGGTACAAGAAAAGCCGTGTGATGTCTGACAGCCTCTTCTCGTCATTGTTCGCCAAACAGCCTCTAGAAAAGGACGAGAAGAAAAAAAGAGGGAGGAGAAAAGGGCCCTTCTGTTATTTTCTGGTCTTGAGACTTGCTGCATAGGCTATTCAGGCGAGTTGATGAACTCCTCCAAAAAGTTTATTAAGGGGATGAAAACAATAAGAACTAAAGCCTCTGGGTGCCCGGGCAGACAGTTTATAAACTAGCTGCTATTGTGCCTCAAAGGCAGATGCATGAATACTTCTGAATGGGGGCCTTCAAACTGACACGATCAGGCTGGACAGCAGCAGTTTTAAAGGGAGAGAGGGTGCTTCTGCTGCAGCTCACATCTCAGCCTTTCTTTTTTTTGCATTAATGTACATCTGCAGAGAAGGGGGGGCACTTTTAGAGACATGCTGGCAGTTTCTGGACTTTGGATTTGCTTACAAACAATCACTATTTGGCTCTTCTTTAGAGAAATTGTAGAATCCAATATTTTTTATTGGCTCTCTGGAAGAAATTTTGCAAAATTTAAGCTCAAATTGAGAGACATCTTAAAGACAGATTGTTTAATAATGCGAGATGGTCTTTTTTTGCAATGTTAATGGTTCATTTTTATTGACAGAGTTGTTATAAGTAAAGCAAAATGTGACAATCATCGATCCTGTCTATGCTGAATTTAACGCTAAAAGTATTAAACTATTCCTGAATGTTAACACAACAGAAGTAGAGAAAAAAACGACGGCAGAAAACAGTTGATGTATATATTTTTTTGAATGGGGCGCACTGGTTACTCCACTCAAGAAGATACATTATTCCCCTCCTTTTCAGCCAACAATAGACTGTCACTCTTTATCCCTCTTCCCTCCTCTGTCCCTCCCTCTCCAGCTTCTCTCTTTCAGTCCTCTCAGTCTCTGGCTCGGTGCCTCCCAACATCAGAGGGAGTCCAGTGATTTGTGACCCCAGAAACCCCACACTTAATCTCGCTAAAGAGGGGGAGCATCCAGTTTTTTGCAGCTTGGCGGGCCCCAAATAGGCCAAGCCGGCTCTGGCAGGTGTCAACATTAGCAAACAATTGGTCCCCCAGTCCCAACCCCCCCCCTCCGCCTTTACCCAGCCAGCCCGTACCCCAGCGCGACTCTGAACCTAAACTATGTGAGGCGCGCTGAAAGGAGCCACATAATGGAGGAATGAGGAGAGGGAGGAGAGGAGGGGGAGAGATTACACTCTGAGACAGCTATTAGCAGGGATGAGGCTTTTCTAAACAAACAAACACAAAAAAGAAGAAGAAGAAGGCGATCAATACTGTGTTAGTTTACCAAGTGGACTCATCATTGTGGCTTTGGAGTATTTATTTTCTGCTCCATTGTTTTTCTGCACTCCTCAAACGTCCGTGGGCCGTATTGGCAATCCAATTTAGTTTGTAGCAGGGGGGTCCCTGGGAGGTCTATTTCTCCTCCCGGGCAGCTCATTCATAGATTTGGTCTTGTAATGGATCCTGATTGGTGAGTATTACCTCAGATAGTGGACACTGACCGGGCTGTCCAGGGGGAAAACAAACACTCAGGGTTGACAGAGCTACGTTGGCTCAATGGGATTGCAGCCCCACTCCCTCATTAGACAAGAGTGTCTTAGCGAGGAGCTCAGAGGAAATGGGAGTTGAACGAGTTGACATGTGGACTGTCACTGCTCTCCAGTGGATATGTGTCCTGACATGAGGGCCAATGTTTTTTAAAAGGCCATTTATTTACCTCTCACTGCTGATTCCTGGCTGTGCTGCCGGCGGAGACAAGTGCTCCCAGCAGGAGGAGGTTAGACTTTTAAAGGTTTTAATGGGAAAACAAACTTCACGTATCAGATGGGAATCTCATTTAATTGCTTCAAAAGGGTATCATATCCCAGCCTGCAGACAAAAATGCTGATATAAATACATAAAATACCATCTAAGGTGGTTCATCTCCAGAACAGTCCTGCCATCACCAGTTAGCAGCAATAAACAGGTGTATTTAAGTGACCCCGTGGCCTCTGCAGACAATGCGGCCTGTTGTAAGTGAGCGCCATTAACAACCCCGACAAGCAATAAAACAATAATGAGCTCTGAGGACATTTCAAAACTGGGAAAAAACAACCTGATCAGACTGTGAAAGACTCACAAATGTCTAAAAATGTAAAATCACAAGTTGAGTCCTTTTTGTTTTGGTCTCCACTGGGAGACTTGCCAAAGGGGACAGACGGTTTTGCAGAGTCATTTTAGCTTTAAACACTCTCTAATTAACCATGTAATTCAACTTCTCATAGTCATTTTGCCTAATAGGCTCTCGACCAAAACAAAATAAATGTTGTTAACAGGCTGACAGATAATGTCAAATAATGACAGAGGCCTGTGAGTGATGAGTGAAAGATCCAACTGTAAGAATTCAGAGGAGGTGTGTTTGTATCCAAGTGTAAAAATCTAACACAACATGTAATGACCTTTTAAAGATAATCCACAAGTTTCCTACTATATATGCATTTGCCATCCAGTATTCAATATAAAGACTCTTTAATTTGATCTTTTTTACTAATCAAATGATAATAAGTGTTATGTCACAGCTGGGTTTTTAGTTTTGAAGAAAATATAACAAACTACTTCAGTTTAATTGAATTTCTTGCCTGTCTGCAGTGATTTAGGGAAATTTTCAACAAAGATAAGGTCATAAACAGTTAGACTTTTATTTAGTTTATTAAACTGTAAGAATTCAGAGGAGGTGTGTTTGTATCTAAGTGTAGAAATCTAACACAACATGTAATGACCTTTTAAAGATAAACCACAAGTTTCATAGTATATATGCATTTGCTGTCCAATATTCAATAATAAGACTTATTACCATTCGATTAGTAAAAACGATCAATTTAAAAAGTGTTCTGTCAAAGCTCAGTTTTTAGTTTTGAAGAAAATATAATAAACTACTTCAGTTTAATTGAATTTCTCGCCTGTCTGCAGTGATTTAGGGAAATTTCTCTACCAAGATAAGATCATAAACAGTTGGACTTTTCTTTAGTTTATTCAATCGTTGTTATCCTGCTCAGGAATAACGCTGACGGATCATAAAAGCGAGTACACAGTGCATTATTAAGCCCATGTTTAATCCTGCATTGGTTGAGCAGGTCAGAGCCGCATCATTTACTGAAAGAAATGTAGTTTCCTCCGATTCGCCGTGCCACCTAAGGTTGTCAAACTCTGACAGCTGGCACAGACGCAGACAGTGTGCTGTATTATGACCGTTCTCTCTGGTTACCATGGTGCTGCATTAGAAAAGACAAAAAGCATTTCTGGCTAATTTTATTACAATGCAGGAATAGCCCACATAATGTGCGACAGTAATTACGTTTAGCACAGCTCCCCCTCGGTGATGAATGAGGAACATTGACCATGGTCTGCTAGTTTAAAAATCGCCATTAGCCCATGCTACTTAGGGCCAGAACATTTCACATTATATGCTCTTGATCTGCTTCACCACCGAGTTTGTTTTAATTGTGCGCGTTTCTCTTTTTCAAAAAAGAAAAAAACCCACAAAGACAATAAACATGTTTCCCGAGTGTTGCGAATCAGAAATGTGTTTTTTTTTCTCCGCCGAGTTAAAATGTGTAAGCGGTTGTCCAAACAGTGGGGTGGAGCTCCTGTCCTCGCCGACTAAATAACAACTTCAAAATGTTGTCCCCCATTTTCAACTAATGGGCTTATTTCTGCATCGTCAGTCACTCTCTCCTTGGGGAATATGCAGTCTCAGTGTTAAAAAGCTTTGCTACTGTGCCACATTAAAACCCCTCAATGTGGAGGGATCGCAGGAAATAATGGCAGGCGATGCAATGCTGCACAGAGAGGGGCTCTTTAGGTTTTGTTTGTTTAATAGAGAAAGTAAAGAAATTGATATTTAACCTGTAATCTACTTAAATTAAGAGAAAGATGTAATAGATTTTTAAAATAGCCCTATTATTTACTTCTCTAACTATACTGCACAAGTTACAAACCAACTTCAGACCCTTTTTTTCCCTCTTAAAAACTCAAACCTTTAGATATGCTTCAAAACATTTCAGCAAAAGTTGAAAGTAACTTAAAAACGTAAGGATTCAAGGAACTTTAATTGTCATACTCCACATCTTTTACAGTTTGTGGTACGAAATTAGCTCCCAGGTCTGTTTGCAAGCCAAAATAATACAATACAATATAATTCAAGAGCAAAATGTAAACAAGGTTAAAGAGCAACAATCATGTTCAAGAGCGACAATTAAGGCTGAACTGAATTTCCATGTTAAGCAGCACAAAATCATACATATTACAGTTGTATAGGATATATTCACTTTGAGTTTTTACCAAAGTTTCCATCTTTCTTCACAACTCTTCCTTCCTTTCTCGTGTCCTCAATATCACACAAACTTTTCCGCAATATTTGCTGCCCGGCCTTGTCCAGAAAATTAGGAAACTTCCCCCGGGCGCATAAAACTGTCCGCTGTGCATTCCTATACTGTGCCCAGTAATCTCTCTTTGGCTTTGTTGAGAAAATGATTTGTTCCTCCAGGAGACCTCGGCTCATAGCCCTGAGACGTTACTGTTTGATTTCCTGCGTAGGTTTTTTCGAAGCTTTTTGCTGGGGGACTGAGGCTCTGGCTCCAGTGCCATTTGGCAGAGACCCCCAATAGGCTTTTTTTTTTTTTTTTTTTTTCTTTTTAACTTTCTTGTGCTCTCTGTTAATTTCATTACATTCGCTTTGACCTCAATTAGCAAAGACTGGAGCTGAGGCAGCGACATCCTGCTCCACAGAGGAGGAAGACCTCGTGCAGAGCTCAGACTCTAAGGCGAGAAATTGGGTATATGGTCTTTCGAGCAAAGAGGAGATTTTGTGTCATGTGAAGTCTTTAGTGGTCCATGTGACCCCATCAGATCCTGAATATTAACCAAAACAGGAGGAAGGGGTGATTATGTAGCTTTTAAAATGCGGGATTTGGCTTTGCAGGAATGATGAAAATTGATAGTTTCACAAATCTGTCATTTTTAAGCAAAAACGAGCTAATATCCTACTTTTTGTCAGGGAGTGTATTAAAGAAAAAAGAGTCCCACCCTTCCAGCCCTTCACGCTTTCACACTGAGGCAGCACAGAGGCCTGGGGAGTCAATATGTCAGCGTTTATGGATGCCCTGCGGAGCTGCACAGGGCTGTCAGGCCTCTATTCATGCTCTAATGGCCCCCCGAGGAGCTCGTCTCTCCGGGCTGAAAAGACCGGGAGGCCCAGTGGACGCCCTGTTGTTGAAGGTGAGCGTGCGCTCTCATGGACGCGCCGCGCCTTCATCCGTATGACAAGAGCCATAAAAGAGCATCACTCTCTGCTTCTCCCTTCTCTGTCTCCTCTGCTTTCTTTCTCCCTTCCCCTCCTCTCCCTCCTCTCCCTCCCTCCCTCCCTCCCCCTCTCTCACTTTCACCTCAAACAGAGAAAAGGGGGCTAATTGTTTGTTGTGAGAGCCAAAGATTATAGAGCCTCCCATCTTTCTTCCTCCCTTTGCCTTTTTCTCCTCTTTTTTTTGCGAGCCCCCTACTCCTTTTCAAAGAATCTGATTCTGTCTGAGGAGAGAAAAGTCTTGGAATTTTTCAGAGGAATGTACGAGGCTAAAAACTCTGACACTTGCAGCCAGAGGTTGAGTTTTTGGTGTGTAAAAGTAAGGCGGTCTTCTTCACTTGTAACAGGTTGTTGTCTAGAGTCACTATCAGCTCTTCCTCCTGATAAAAAAAAAGTTGACAAAACTGCAAACTCTCTCCTCTCTTCTTGCTGTTTGGGACATTGCTCTCAGCATCCCTTTCTAAACTGGAAATTGACATGATAGGCGTGAGACAAAGCTGAATCCAATGACATCTGTCCATAAAGGTGAGGCTGGAATGATTTTATTTCTGATAGACGGAGGAGTTTTAATATCCTGATGTTTAGTTACACATCTCATCCAGATTCAATTCCCGGCTAAATGTCAAATTACGACCCGGAGAAGGTCACTGACAAGCAGGAGAAATTGATGATGCATTTTGGCATGTTACCAAACCAAGTCAGTTAACTTGATTTTGCCAGATATGCGGCCCCTTTTTACAGCAGCGTGTGTTTGGTTATATGTGGATTAATTCAAACCCTGCAGAGGCTTTGCTCACTTTCAGAGTTTTGTTTTTGTTTTTCACTAGCAGGGAGATAACTACAGGAAAAGATTATTCATAGAGAATTTGTCTCTAAACCACTCCGGTTATCGCTGTCGTCTATCTTGTATTCACATAAGGTTCCTATCTGAGATACATCCTTTGGTAAATGCCTTGAATCACATGCCTCCTTTAACTCTGCAAAGCCCTTTGGGATGAACAGGCGAGTGCATTAAGCGGAGATGCCGCGCCATTCTCACAAAAATGCAAATTGGGAAGTTGTTAGTTATTTGATGTTGCAGCACGATCCCCCCCGCCCCCGAAACATCCCTCCGCTCCAGTGTTGGTGGTTTGAATCGCATGCAGTCCTGGGGACAGGCAGGCCTGTTTATATGCAGGCCTGGAGCCGCAGAGACAGCGCAGAGACAGATGCATGTCAGAGATAGCAGATCCCATCGCAGGCAGATGCCTCTTATCGCAGCCATGTTTGCATAATTAGGCCTTTTGATATTCAGCCCCTCTGACTGACAAAAAGTATAATTGCAGCATCAACTACGACAAAAGGTAGGCACAAAATAAACAAGTCAACATAAATAGGGAGAAAAGACGTGGTGTTATTTTTGTCCTGTGGGAAAAAAAGAGGGAGGAAAAAAAGCAGTGTTTTGAACTAAATCTGCTGTCAGTCACAGTCAACTGGTGTGACTCGCCGCTCACAGGCTGGTCCTGTGAATGCCTGCAAAACACTGAGCGTGAGGCCTGATTGTAATTATGCTGGAACTAATATGCTTTTCAAAATGAGCCATTATGAGCTAATGCTGCACTGCCAAAGCCCTGTCTGTTTTTGTCCCTCTGTCTCGGATAGTTTGCAAAGGTATGCCTGATATTGAGGCCATGGGTTATGATGTCACAGACAGGCTGACGACTTAGCTTGATGCTAATGCTGCGCACAGGTGAGTTAGAGATACCTGACACCTGCAATACTGTGAGGGGGGGAGCTATTTTTAACAGGAATTTTAACATGTTTAGGTTTAGATTAATTTTTTTTACAAACCGGGGCTTTTTTTAAAAGTATTTTTTCGGTGATTTTTGCCTCTATGGATAGGACAGTGTGGAAATACAGGGGGATAGAAAGAGGGGGAGAACATGCAGCACATAGTCGAGGTTTGACTCAAACCCATGACCGTTACGGGGACCATGGTCCCCATGCATGGGGCGCACTCAGAGTCATAAGCGAAATAAGCGCCTACTTAGGGCCCCGCAGCCAGTGGGAGGCCCCCCAACAGTAATCCAAAAATTTTTTTTTTTTTTTTTTGGATGTATGCATGATGCTTTCTGTATGATCCAAGATATATTATTGTGAAAATAAAATAAAGTAAAAACATTTTAGTGCTGCTGCTGATGTAGGCCTCTGATTCTTACTGCCGATGACACTTTTACAGTAAACATAATACTTTATCACTTGGAATGCTGTGAAAATCAACCCCATCAGTCATTCATTAGTATTATTTGTATCATTGCATTGGTATTATTTATGTTATTATCTGGGCCACCCCCTTAAATGTGTAAAGACATGTCGGGCGCATTAAATTTATACTGTAGTGGGTGTGTGAATGATCAACAATCAATATTATTGGCAGAAATAGAGGGCCCCAAAATCAAATTTTGCTTAGGGCCCCATTGAGGCATACTAACCCGCATCTGCGTGCCTCATTCTTTTTAATTGATTTGATATTAGCATTCACAAGGTATCGTTTTTATTTTTCCATCTAATTTTGACAATTTGCAAAATGTTTTTGTTTTTGTTTTTAACTTTTACTCATACACATTAAGGTCAAGGCTGATATTTTCAGTTTTCATGTTTTATCACTTAGTTTCTCTCATTGTTTCCAGTTTTTTTAGCATAAAGTAGGGTGACCATACGTCCTCTTTTACCTGGACATGTCCTCTTTTTGTCAGAGGGAGTTTATAAAATCCTTCAAATGTCCGGGGTTTTGTTTGGAAGTTTTGAGTTTGTGTCGCGTGGACTTACTGACTTAGAAGTGCGTAAAAAACACTCGATACGACCCGAAAAAATTCTCAAAATTAATTACATGTGCAACTGCATAACTCCGCCCCTGTGTAGTCATGTCCTCTTTTTGGGAATTCAACCTCGCGTAATGGATATTCCTTCATAAAGACAATGCTTTTTAAGGTTGTGATTGATTTTAGCTCATACTTTTGATCCCTTATGCAGCCTTTCTTTCTGAGTAGTTACCGTTTCTCTCTTCAGACCCCCTCAAAGATTTAGATTCATGTATTTAAGTGTCAAATTTTTACTGACATCAACTTAATTTCTGTGTAACGTATCATCCCAGATACTTGGTTAATTGCTGTCTGTTTAATCAGAATTATCTCAGCAGCTCAGGGGTGAAAGTGGAAGACCCGGGGAGTCCGAGAGGGAGAGTTGGAAGTTTGAGGAATAGTTGGGGAGGGGGTGGATGTGAGTGTAGGAGGGGTTAAGAGGAAGCAGGGGTGATAATGAGGATCCCATCTGCCTGCAGTCTGAGAAGTTTAGTCTGAGAGGTCAGCAGAGGAGCATCAGGGGAGAGAGCCGCAGTTAAACCTCACAGTGACCTTAAAACTATTAACTCGCTGCACAAGTCCTTCAAGAGCGCAAACTTTTTTTTTTTCTGAGTGTGGAAGTGTCCTCATACCAGAGTCTCAGGAGGGTGAGAGAGTTTGGCCCGTCCTCTTCTTCTCTTTAGGGATTATTTCAACAACTTGTATTCACACAGGGTTAACCAGTTATTAATTACTGTGTGTGCACTGAATCTGGTGAAACCACAGTTTATCATGAGTGGACAAACGCAACTGAAATATAACTTCACTTTCTTTACAATCCCAGTTAAAACCTCGCTTTTTGAGTGTGAGCTAAGACTTTTCTACCAAAACACATTGCACAAAAACAGCAGAAGAGCCTCTCATGACTGTATCTCATCAAGTGTAGTTTACTATGATAAATACAGCTGTTTTGTTCAATGAGAAATAATGGGACTAAAATGGGAAGACAAAGCTAAAGGTAAACTGAATAAAGACGACTTTTAATCAAACTATCAGTAACAGCCCTGATGGTATTAGCTAAGTTAGCTTCTTGTTCCATTTTAAACCCCAGCAGTGTTGAATACAGACTGAAGAGATAAGCAGAAGACATGCATACCATTCATTTTGACCATTCATCATGTACTGGCTTTTTATATGCCAGTGAATCAACACAAAGAGCAGAGGAGGGCAGGTGCAGGTGAAAATTCAACTTTATTCTCCATGTTTTAACTTATAAATCAAAGTGACTGAAAATAAAAAAATCTTCCCTTGCCTTGAATAATCTTTTCTTAAGTTTTCTAGTTTTCTAAAGATTCTTAAGTATCTGGATCTGTGTAGGAGTGCCTTCGAAAACCGAGCACATCTACGGGCCTCAGGTCTGAGTGGATGTCTCTATCGTATCCAGAGTCATATCTAATAAAAACAGGGTTGAATCGTCGATGCTCATATTTTCTACCCTCAGACCTCATTTGTAACCATATATATCCCTCAGGTACCCACTGGGAATCTTGACCATCGATCTGCCGTGATTTAAACCCTGTGGGCATCAGTTTTTCAAACCATCCCTGTGTCATGTGTTGAACACCTGTTTTATCTGGTAGTGATTGATTCCCTCTGATAAAATCTTGAAACTACCTCCTGAAACTGTTTTAACCTCTCTCTCTCTTAACAGTTCAATTATGCTTTAAGCTTCCACCAAGAACTTAGTTTTTGGGCATATTTGCCTGAGTTGGAAAGGACAGCTTAAAAAAAAGAGACAGTAAATGTCAGGTGAGATTGGTAGTGGAAGTAAAACCAGCTACCGCTATAACGAAGGCTAATACCAAAGCATGCTTTAACCACTTGGTGGACCACTGCCTTTTATCTCTTATATTTTTGCTGATTTTATCCTGTACATGAAACTCAACCAGCTTTATTTTAAAGGAGTAGTGTGCAGTATCAAACGGCACTTGGTGAAAAATACTCGTCTATGCGTAGAATCGCCTGAATGTAAAAATTGCTTTTTTGTTTTTGTCAAATTAAAACCGAGTCTTCCATATTTACGAAAGGAGCGAGCCTTCGTCACGTATCTGGAGGCTGCCTTCCTGCAGCAACATGTACCTACCATTGCACAAAACAAACAAACTGGTAAAAAAAGAAAGTGGCCGTTTTTTACTGACTGACGGTTTTGACGGTAAAATTTGACAAACTGAGAATCTTACTTATCATGTCTCACAGGGGCTTCTTGTCCTCCGTAGCTCCAAGACGATCACGACTTATACTCCTACTTCTACACGGCTTTAACAGTGAAATTCATGTCAGATCTATGCCATGGAAAAAGTAAAAACCGAGCATGCAATCTAGGATTTTGTTCGACATCTACCATCTACCGGCAGCTTCAGAAAACAAACAAAAAGCATCTAAATAGAAATGACCGGTCATTACACATGTTTTTTTTTTTTATCGCTAACCCTAACCACTTCCCTCAGGAGCTTTACATCTTTTATTTCAGCCGTACCCGGTGTTATTTTCAATCTTAATCAAGCACTCACTCAGACAGAGCAATGTGTAAACCTGATTAATTCCTATTTCTACTGGGCACATTTGAATCAATATGAGGGGGAGACCTCAGAGGGCCCCTGGAGGAGCGTACACGGCAGTAATCGTGCCCACTGGATGGCACATAATTACATTCTAATTGGACAATAAGTAATGAGACAAGGCATGAGTGGTTTATCAATATCCCCCTGAACCTGTGAATGGAATTACCGCACTCGTATTATTCCAGGGTCTAATCAGAACGTACCTTTTTATGCCGGGCGGACCATTAAGAAATTGACCTCAACAGCCCTGCAGGGATTTTGTTTTCACTGGGTCTTATTATTTCCGAGATTGTTAACATTGGCACACGTGTGAAAGAAACAAAAAAACCGACTGGAAATTTAGATTTTTAAGTACCTTTGTGCGAGAAAAAGGCTGAAAAATGGTTGTTCTGAGTCCAGGATCTTTGTCCCCCGGGGGTATTGCGGTATGGCAACCAGACTTGAGCATCAGACTCTTTCCTTCATCAACATGGAGAGCAGCCGTGTGTTTCAATATATTTCCTATTCGCCAAATGTTGTCAGCATATAGATGAGTCCCAGTTGGCCCCATGTAGCGTGTGCCATATCCCATTTTGCTTCACTCATTACAGGGAGGGCTGTTGACCTTGTGCTTGTGGTTCATGTACAAGAGCAGATGTGTTGCCTCTGCGGGGCTTAAAGGGGAGCAGTAGTACACGCTATTGTCTGTCGAGGTTTATCAGTCATTAGCCTGATAGCATGCTAAATGTGACACAGATTGCGGGGCCGGTTTACTCGTGAAATAAAGTCTGCGAGACAAAGAGAGGGAAGAGAAAATAAGTGTCTTCCTTGGAGCCCCTTGAGTACATATGTGTTGACTATGGCCCCTCGTCTCCCCCCCCGGTAGGACACAGGGGTGACTTTGGAAAGTGATCTGGGCCGGTTTCAAGTGTCGTCATGGCGAGTTAGCAAGCGAATGGATCTACGCATCCTCATGAAAACCAACAAAGGGATATGCGGTGTATGTACATATCCAACTTTGTATGTTCAAGGGTGTTTCTGCGGCCGAGTGAGTCTGCTGCTTCAAGAATCAATCTTTATTAAAAAGGATAAGACTGAAGAATTGATTTAATGAATGCGGCCTCATGTCCTGCGGCCACGTGTAATCCGCAGAGAATCATCGAGCACGAGCTCAGGGGGGACAAAAAAAATGTTCGTAGAAGACTGGTTAGAGTGGCCTGTAATGATAGTCTCCATATAATCCCATAATTCCTTGTTTAATTAAACTCTGGAGCTGGCCTTGAGACTTCGCCAGCTCTGTTGCTCTTTTGTTCTCACAGTTGTTATTTGGAGGCTAGCTTTGAGTATCCTTTTGTCCACTTGTGTTGAAAGATGTGACTGGAGTGGAGCTATAAACAGGGATCGGAGCCGTAAAACAAAGAATTAGACGCTCTAACTCGTCCAGGCGAGACATTCAGGTGAGCGCCGACGGTTTTTTTTCTTCTTCATCTGAGCTGAATAGCAAAAAGGCCTCTGTCAGAAGCAGAAATCTCTTCATGCACCCTCTTCTTCTTCAATATCTCCCTTTATTTTCCCTCTACCCACACTTTTCTGGACTGAGTATGATGCAATCCAACAAGGCCTGGAGCAACACTGGCACATCACGCTGCCTTGTCAATGTCTCAATGAGGGAAATTATGAGAATATGAATTTTATGACATGGAATGAAAAGGGCCATGTAGTTTGAATAGACATGCAGAGGAGGTGAAAATGATGCAATTTTCTAAATTCAGTTATAATGGTAATGTGCACTGGTAATGCGTATTTGCTGTCAAAAATTTCCCTGTCGGCCCGGATTGTGCAGCTTTGTGCTGTATCTGTGTTCCTCGAGCGAAAATTCAGCTTAGTTGAATGCCTAAAAAGTAATGTAAAATATGTTCTAATTCATTTAATGACAGCAGATGGAAACACACGGGACTGAATGGTTTCGGTGCGATATTGTGTTCTATTTTGTACACTCTGGCTGCGCTGTGTACGAGCGGTGCGCCCTGGGCCAATGAGAGAGAAAAGCAGGGTGAGGAGCAGCAAGGTGGCCTGTGCAGATTAACCCCTCTACCCACCGACGCCCCCGCTCCCCCTTAGCCCTCTGCCTCCACAGCCTCTGGGGCCCCTCACACAGGCAGGATTGTGTATCAAGGCCTCTTCTATATTAAATAAATATCCACAGATTAAGATAATATTCTCCCAGTTGTGTATTATGAAAGGAGAGGCTGTCATTTGAATCCTCTGTGTTGCCAGTCTCGCTCTCTTTGAGCAACAAAAGAGCCTCAAAATACGCAGATAATGCTGTTAGAGCTACTTCTCCTGCACTTCCAGCCAGTATTTTATGCTTTTTTTTCCCCAAACAAACAAAAAAAAACCTCAGTTATTCATTTCAAACAACTCTTTCTCTTGTCTTAATTACATGATCACACAGATGGCCCTCTTATCCTCTCCCTCTCACCTCAGGTAACCGCACAGACGACGGTTCAGATGTGGATTCGGAGCCGGACCTGCCCCTGAAGAGGAAGCAGAGACGCAGCCGCACCACCTTCACAGCCGAGCAGCTAGAAGAGCTGGAGAAGGCGTTCGAGAGGACACATTACCCCGATATCTACACCCGAGAGGAGCTGGCTCAGAGGACCAAACTCACAGAGGCCAGAGTGCAGGTTAGACCTCCTAGTGAACCCATGAAGACCCAAACTATGAAGACAGTTAGATTTTTAAGTCGAGAGGCCACACAATCATCCTAATATAGGGGTGATATGATCAATAGTTCTATTTAAGAAAACAACAACAAATTATCGTACTATTTCCTGAAGTATTTCACCCACTTGGATCTGCTTTTAAACAACCTAGAATTGGATTATTGTATGAGCCATTTTATCGATATTATTTTTGGGGTTTTGTTTTGTTACTCGCACAATCTCCACAAGGGGCGCTTCAGGTGAATGGGCAGGTAAATGCTACAAAGGGGCACAGGTGAAGCAGTGATCTCTGACACCACTCTCACCCTCATCACAAACATCACCATCATAGTGAGTTGGACGTAATAATGGCAAAAATATAAATCAACAGCAACCTTGGATTGGACATTGGATCATACTAGAGGCACGTCAAAAACACCTCACTCCCACACCCAGACAGTGACTAAAATTCAGGTCGGCATAGTCACTACAGTTATTTTTACTCAGGATTGTAACAGTCTGACTTACAAGTTGTGCATTATTTTTGTGTTTGGGCATAACACACAACCCACACAAAGATTTAAATCTATAGTTAAAGCGTGACAACAAATAAAAGTCCAGAAGCAACGGGTATTTGCACTGCTGGAGCTAAATCACTTTTTTAAAAAAGATTATTTATCTTTTTTTTTGCTGAACTTGTAACCAAAAAATTTGCATCATAAAAACTCCGTCTGCAAACACCAGTGTGCTGAAAAAGCTTTGCGCTTACAGATCAGTAACACTTTACTTGACACCTATCTCTATAACGCATTATAAATGTATTTATAATGCGTTATAATCACTTATAGCACCGTAAAACTATAGTTATAAACACTTGTGAATGATCATAATGCTTTTTAGAAGTAATCATAACCCATTATAAAGCATTTTATCATGACTTACAAGTTCAGGTATTATAATGTGTTATAACTGTTAACAACTCACTGACAATACCCACATAGATAATGCATTATACATATATTTATGGTGTGTTATAATCTGCTTATAGTAACTATCATTATAAACATTCATTAATTATCATAAGGCTTTATAACACATTATTATACCTGACCTTTTAAGCCATGATAAAATGCTTTATAATAAACATTTATGAGTGTTTATAACTATAGTTATACGGTGCTATAAACTGATTATAACGCATTATACATATATTTATAATGGGTTAAAGAGATAGGCGTCAATAAAGTGTTACACAGAGATCTATACAGACTGCAGAAATCCCAGTTACTATGAGAAACACACATGACACTCATGCCTTAAATGTCACTACATTACCTGTCTTTTACAGTCAGCAGTGATTTTTTTATCCACCAGGAGGAGGTTGTCGTTTTTTACCGTATTATCCGCTGCATGTGAGGGAATTTGTTGCTAACCATTAACCTGAATGTCCTGGCTGCCTGACAGAGAAACTCCCCATGTTCACACCTCAGAGCGGTGGGGGGAACCTGTCTGACAGTGTTGGTGCTCTGGGTGTTGCATGTAAGATTGAAGGCAGATATGTACAGTAGAGTTATAGCAGCAGCTGTTCTTCCAAAGACGGAGAGAGGGAGAGAGGTAGAGAGGGAACGCATTCCTGATGGATTTCTCATTTCGGCCTTTGGCCAGGATCTCATCCCATCACTTTCAAGCTCGCCGCTGCTTGTAAAACCCTCCACATATCACACAGGGCTCCTCATCCTCTCCAGGGACCCTCTGCCCCGACAACAACATTAATCAATCAGAGGCTAGTAAAAAGGGGGGAAAAAGAGGCACTGGGGCACCCCTCTCCTCTTACCACTGGGGTTCACACTCCATCTGAACCCCCCAAACCTCCTCACCGCATGCTAACTGTTCATCACAGCACAAACAGAACTAATTCCACACATGTCTTTGTCCATCTTCAAACCCCCCAACATGCATGGACGTCCCGCATGTCTGTGTGTTTAATGCCTCACTCAAGGGAGGAGACGTTTATCTCGAGGATATTTAAAGGCGATAGGTCCGATATGGAAGTTTTCTGATGCAACAGATGATCTTTTATTTTGCAGACTGGGTTCTGACGGTTGTGAGATAGTTGGCTGATATGATACGAGCTGCCTTTTGCTATAATCATATCTATAATTTTCAAAGCTAATGCATAAATGTGGTGCAGTTCAAAGTCATCGTGGACGGCAGCGTTTCCTCAGGTTTGCGAACTAAATCCATTCTTTTATTAGTCTCTGAGTATTTATGGAGCCCGACGAAAATATCCAAACATGAAAGAGAGAGAAGAAGAAAGAGGAGCGGAGTGGCTGCTGTGTCTTTGCAGTTAGATAATAGACTTAAATGATGTCATGTGAAAACCTGAGGAATTTGAGTCATGGCCATAATTTGTTAATGCTGTTTTCCTCTTAATCTAATTCTTTAGAGGCTTTGAAAGTCTGCAAAGGTCAACTCAAACTTAATTTTCTTCGAAGGTTGAGAAGAAAGAGGTTCTGGAAGCCAAAATAAATAATGCCAAAAGTTGTGCTGCACTTTGATGAGCTCGAATTGAGAAAGACATGAATCTACAATTAAACTTTCTTTATGAAATTTATTTAGTTATAAATGCGGCTCAGAGGAAGTATTGTCCTTTGACAGATTCTCTACAACTTGAGCCCTTTTAGAAAAAATTAGACAATACAGATAAGCTACATCTGTCAGGATTTAGCTGAAATGTGCATATGGATGTTGTCTGTAAATGTCCACCAGCTGGACTCTCACATAGGTGCCCAAAAGGCTGATCAGAGGGCAGCAGAGAGGAGACCCTTTGGCCTGAGAGCAGAGCTTCTCCTGCACAGCTGCGGTGACGCATCTTCCAGATGTCTCTCACTGCCGTTTGGAGAAAAGAAACTACAGGCTTAGGGTATTCACTCTCCTAAAGACTCGTATTTTAACCTGAATATGTGTCTGCGGTCATGGTTCGCTGCTGCACGTTTGTCATTAAACACGGTGATAATGTGGAGAGCGCAGTACGGAGGTAAGCCGGTGCAAACACGCAGCACCAAAGCCGCGCTGTAAATTAAACTGTGAGTGTTTGGCTTAGCGCTGACTCACAACCCAAACTCATAAACACAGCTAACTCCCCTGTGTCTGCCCCGGCCTGCCATTTTAAGACCCCCTCACCATCCATCTTTATCAGCGGAGCGAGCTACCAGCACTCCTTCAACCAACACCACCAGCCTTGCAATGGTTTTATCACCCCGGCTGACAAATTGTGGGATATGATCCGTATCTCTCAGCAATTAGTTCCAGGCTGTCTCGGTGGGAGGGGATACTGACAAGTCCACCTTCAGTTTGTACTGCCACCATCCATCTGATAACCCCCTTAGTTTTACTGTAACAGGAGCAGGCAGCAGAGTTGGAGTGGGAGTTGTTTGAGGAGAGCATTTCAGTCTGCAAAGGGAATTTTTCCAGTAGTATAAAACCATTTTTCAGGAGTGCCTACTGTCAAAAATGAAGGACTATGTTTCGCCAAGTACATTCATGCACTGATTGATTTGACACCCTAATACACAGACAGACAAGATAATGGATAGATAAATGATAGATAACTTGATAGATAGAGAAGAAGCTTGACTCTCATTGCAGGGCACGAGTAAAATGCAGCAAACTAGGATAGCGATCCTTTTGAGTGCAAAAAAATCATAAATTTGATCAGTTTCATGGATAACCTGAAAATCAGATCAGTTTCAAACCTGAATTAGATCAACTTCTTCTGAACATCAATCCGTGGCTTGCATCTACTCAACTGAGCAAAGCTTCACTTGGCAATACAAACTCCTTTGTCTTTTCGTCTTAGCTTGTTATTGCTAGTTTTCATCTTTTTTTTGTGATATCATCCGAACAGTAACACGTGCTAAACTGTTTACAAAGAGACATCGCGGCTGCACTGATATCTACTGTTTTTAGAGCAGTGAAGAAGAACGACATTCACATTACGACCTTAGACTGTATATAGAATGAAGGCCGTCTGCCTTAACGCTGGGTGAAGCCACCGCAAGAATAGCACCCTCTGGTGATGGGTTGCAGTACAGGTCATGAATCCTGCCTCCTCAAGCAATCCCTATGGAGCTGTGAACAAACTTTAGAAATGGAAGGGGATAGAATGGGGTTAATGTTTTCTATGATTGACACCTGATACAGCCTATGGGCGTACGAAAATTGTGTAGCTCACCCGGGGGTATGCTGTTTGAGCCGAGTGTCATCACAGCGACTCTCAGCAACTCTCCCACCGAATGCACACAATGCTACTGCGCAATGTTGGTTTCAGGAAATGGAGAAAAATCATGGAAATACCGAGAGCTTTTTGGCTTCAAATCCGTATACTGGCAAAAGGTGGAACCAAGTTGTCCATAGTATATACAATTTATAATTACGACGATAACTAACAACAAATAGTTACAAAGAATGTGACATTGGCCCTTAGTCATTTAGTTAACCTCCAAAAACTAGCATGTTGCCTGTATTTGACACAAGAGATCAGAGAGTGAACTCTGGGTCCTGTGTGGGTCAAATATGATGGTAATCGTATCACATCTTACAGAGATAGTGGTGCTATTTTCATTTGTCAAGAGCATATCAAACATGTGGGTGGCAGTGTAGCGAGAAGCTCAAGCCCACGTTAGCCAATCAGAATCCCTCATAGCAGCAACAACAAAATTGTCCCTTCCGTCTTTCCTGCGCACAATCTGCCGTCGGCTACCCAAATCTCAGTTTTTTCCACATTTCTATTCAAACATGCAAACAAAGCCGGAGTTTTTTAAAAGTATGTCAGGTGATCTCAGGGGCAAATCCTCCATTTGCGTCTAAACAAAGGGTGCAAACAATGGTTAACGTCTCCGTTTTATAAAATAACCGGGTACGTATAAACGGGGCCTTAAGGTGTCAAGTTTTCATTGGTATTTTTCTTCCTTTTGGCCTATGATTACTTTGCTTTTCATCAGTCCTGAAGCTTTTAACAAAACAAATTAACTCTTCCTCTCCCAAGCAAACCGGTCCAATAATTAAAAACGGTAAAAACACTGTATGAAGAAGTTTAACATTGAATATTGTTGATGTTGGTTTTCTTTTCGGATGTTCTTCAACAAACTTATGAGATAGATGTGTCAAAGCTGTTACATTTATATTTTTTACTCCCTATCAGCCAACAAATGTAGGAAGAAAGAGTAAAAGTAATGTTGGAACTCCCCTAGAAAAAAACACAATAAGTTACTGTTGGTCAGCTTCTTTCTCCTCATTCTTCTTGTCCAGACTGAAGTTTTAATGACGGTTTCTCCTGAGTCTCTGCTGAAGCTCATCATCTCAGCGTGCCGCCTCTGGCTCACTTTACCGGCTCTGTCACATAGATCCTCTTTCATTACCAATAAACATTCTGCATGTCGCTGTTATACTGACTGGAATCTAATAAGGTATAAGCATTGCTTTTTACGAAGCGTGCAAATCAATTTGGTAAAAAGTTTCTCTCTTTATCTGAGGCTTGTGCTGGCCTGTTGATGCATGGAATGAGCTCAGCTAAAGACCTATGGAGACGTGTTTTTGCAGCAACAGTACGGGCAGATTCCTACTCCTGCCGCTGCTTTTAAGCAAGTTTTCAACCTCGCATGTGAAGGTATAATCCTATAAGGGAGGTAGCAAGAGGTAAATCACAGCTTCTTGATTGTTCTAGTATCAATGGACTACCAGCGGCAAGAGACGAAATCACAATAGAGCCGAGTGTAGACAACCAAAACCCAACAGGCAGCTGTATTCCCGCCAGTCTGGGTTTACATCTCATAAAGGCATAAATAGGATTTGTGTAGATTGCAGGGGAGAAATTGTTGCAATGCACGAGTGTGAATGTTCTAACAGTTTTCTTATTATTAGAATTTAAATGACTTTGGTACAGTGCTTCTGTACTCCTGATACTTATCAAGCTAATCCCACTCTCCTCTCAAATTCACACTCCTAGCTACTTTAATTAGCATAGTGCCAGTCTGGAAGGCAAGCAGGGATAGAGAAAGAGAGAGAGAGAGAGAGAGTGAGAGAGAGGGGGAAGAAGAAGAGAAGGAGGAAGAAGAGGGGAAGAAGAGAGGGAGAGTGGGGGGGGGGGAGCATTGCGTGGTATGAGACAGAAGAGGATTTGTACGTTGAGGCTGGTTGCATCACCCCTCTGTGTGTTTCTTGTGGATATGAAGTCAGCAGCAGAAGCAGCAGCAGCACATTTTGTTTTGTCATTATCTCGCCTCTTGGTATTCATCTACCGAATGTTGCAAATTGGCTCCTGAAAGGCGTCACATATTCACTGCTCGCTTGTCTTTGACAAAATAATTCATGGAGGATTGTCTAAACGAAGGAGGGGGAATTTGGGAATGTGAGGGATCCTGTTTAAGAGGAACAACAGAGGAAAGGTTTTCTTACTGCGGAGAAGTGACACATTTATGGGTTATTGCTGATCAGCGATAAGGGAATGCAAACATGTCTCCTGGTTGTAAAGAAAACTGATTCTATTGGCCAAAAGTGAACAGAAATTTGCGCCACTGAATTTAGGAAGATTTGTTGTTTAGCTGCACTTTTAAGGTTTGCAATTTCTTCTTTTCTACTTCCTCCAACCTGACTTCTATAAGACAGGTTTCAGCTCCTCTATCCTCCCCTGCTCTCAAAACTTTCTCCTCAGAGATGCGCCGCCAACACATCCAAGAACACTGGATCTCAGAGAAACCCTTTTAGTCACATGAATTTCGTGAGCCACTCGTACTCTGAAGCTGCAACTTGTAGGTAGATAGAGGTAGACGTGGAGGAGCTGCTGCGGCTCTCTGTACTGCCGAGAATTAAACGGGATTGGGGAGAGCAGAGAGGAGAAGCTGCTGGTCCAAGGTGACTTTGTGATCAGGTTCCAGAGCGCAGCCTCAAATCCTCAGCTCCAGGCTGTGTGTGAGTCTGTGTGACCGGGGAGGTGTGTACGTTTGTGTTTGTAGTGTGTGTGTGTGCATGTGGGAGACAGAGTATGGTCAATTGTGCACATGTTTATTCCAGTCTAAAACCTGACAACTGTTGGGGACAGCCACTCAGTCAGTCAGTCAGTGAGTGGTGCATGCTGAACACCGCACACTCAGCTCTGTGCAAACTAACTCAATAGAGCTGCAAGTTTAGTGCATTAACTTTGAAGTGAGCTTGTGAATACTTCAAATTCCACTGAATCAGGAAGATAACCCTCAATGACTTTTCTTAATGGAAGGTTTCCTGCCAGAAACAAGATTTGTCGCGAGCATTTTAGTAAAAAGGAAAGAAACAAAGAAAGAAAGAAAACATCCTGGATAATATTTGTATCAATACACAAGCAAGTTTTATACACGGACATATCGGCGAGTCCAAAATACTTCACTTCAACTTTATTATGTCCCAAAACTGGGCAAATCGGGTTGCAGCAGGCACAGACATTTAAAACACTGCCATACATCATAAAAAGAAAATAAATAAAATACATTCACATAAAAAACACTTCAGGAGTTAAAAACAAGAAATTATTTGTTTTTAGATTCTTTTTAAGTTCCATAAATGTGCAAACATACAACAAACTCAGTAAAGCACAGTTTGTAAAGACTTGGGGATTTAAAAGATCTATCTATATCTAAATCTGTACTTAAAAACTTAAAAACTTGTAGTTAAGAGAGTAAAAAAAAAGGGGGGGTTGAAAAAGAAGAGCCAGGTTTGAGTGTTTTGTGTCTGCTGTGATGGAAAACCTCCTCCTCAGCCTGGATGACAAACAGAGGGAAGGAAGTCAGAGCGGACATAAAAGAGGGAGCGGGGTGAGTGGATGAGGTCGGAGGTGAAGTGGCACTGCGGGGCAGGGTGACGGGGAGTGTGTGGAAGAAAAGGGTGTGTGTGTGTGTGCCCCCTCCCCTGGTTCAGGCAGCTGTTTGTCTGGCCCAGTTGGAGCTTAGTTCAGACTGTGGAGCACGCTCCACTACATCCCAATGGCAGAAATTTCACTGGAGCCACTCTCCACATTTGTTTTGGAATCACTGATTGAGGGATTCAAACGGGGTCTTTAGAGGCGGTCGGGCTTCAGATAAAGATTTCCTGTTGGTTTTTTACCAGCTCGACTCAGTCAGCGCCTGTTGCATCCTGTTAACTTTTAAGGGAAAATCCAGGACCAACCTTAGCTGTACGCGAAAAAAGAAAGGAAACAAGTCACCTGGTCTTTACTGTGTTTGAAAAGAACCACCTTCGAATTAAGATCTCTACCTCCTTAGATCCTTTTTAGGCCTATACGAGTTTACGCGTATGTTTGTGTGCACAGAAAGAGGCAGAACCCAAAGAGCGGTGAGTATGTCGCTGTGTAAGTCCCCTTGAAAGTGTCCCCTCTTTAAGACCTGTTTAAAAGGGACGCCCCCTCTTTGTGCGCACTGTTCTCTGTGGCGTATGGAGGGGCTTTTGTCCCCCTCTTTCATGTGCTCTCACAATGGCCTGGGCCGTTTGAAACACAACAGTAGATGAACTGCGCTGACAGTGTATTAAACTCTGATGAATTGCCTGTGCGAGGCATAGATCAATGTCCTTCAACCCCTCAGCACACAGTGAAGCCGGGCCTTGTCTTTGGGTTAAATGGAACAGGTTGCTGGCTCCTTTCAAAAGAGGCTCTGATTATATTCATGTTTTGTTGAAGCTGGAGCCTTTTTAAAATGTGTAAATCTTTGCGTTTCAAAAGACTCCCTATTTTTTTTCTCCTCCTTTTCATTCAGGGAATTTGGTGCTGCTCATTTTGCAGCTTCAGAGAAGCTAACACGCCCTTTTTTTTCCTCTTTAAACTAACTATTAAAGCTTTTAAAAACAGCGCAGAGCTACTTTAGCGGCCAACGTGCTTCAACACCTCTTAAAGCATCTTATAGCTTCACAAACATACCGATTTAGAGACTAGTGGCCCATGTCTGACCTTTTAGTGACTTCTCCCCTCTGAAGGGGGTTGAGGGCAGCCTGTTTACACAGATCACAGCTTTAGACCCTTAAGAACAACAGAGCCGGACCACTGAGCCTGTATGGCAGCTCCCACGGGGGATTGCAGACCCTTTAACACCACCAGTAACGCCACGAACGCTAACTGGAGCATCAATCACAATCAAGGAAAGAGCTAGTTGAGGGAGAAAATTAAGTTTAAGTGAACAAAATTTGACAAATAATGTGATTTCTTTTTTTTCTCTAGGTGTGGTTTAGCAACAGGCGAGCCCGGTGGCGCAAACAAGCCGGAGCCAATCAGCTCGCGGCTTTCAACCACCTGCTTCCCGGAGGATTCCCACCGACAGGGATGCCCACTTTACCCACATACCAGCTACCAGACTCAAGCTACCCCAGCACCACGCTATCGCAGGGTAAAGACTCACACATGGAGCTCCACCCAGACTTGACAGTTAGCTCTGTACTTTAGATTTAATCGAATTTCATAAAGATTTCATTAGTCTTTTGATTTGCAGCCGGACGAACGGGCGGATTTCATGTTCTCTTTAATAGCATTATGAATATATATGAAACATGTGCATCGTATAAAAAACTAGACGGCATTATGTTTACAATCATATCTTTGTTACAGAGGAAAAGAAACATGCAGTCTCTCATTTTCTTGTTTAACTTCTGTCCTTTGCAACTCTTTAACGTATAAAGACGCATTTTCCAAGCTGTGCACTCAATGTTCAACTTATAAGGGTCTTAACTTTGAGACTGTTTTAAAGTCCCACTCCGGTCGATTTTCTTTTACTACTGCAAGTGTTCTCAGTTGTCTTTAAGTTGTGATTATGAAGTTTTAGTGCGTTTCCTGTTATTTTTAAGGGCTTTTCTTCTGCAGAGCTCCAGTAGATCATTAGCAATTCACCTGAGTCGTGGGTGCAGACAGCGCTGCTCTGCACACTCGTCTTCACGTTAGCTTGCAGCTTAATGTTGCTTATGCAGCAGAAGTGGCAGGTAACACAGGAGACGAATGTCTTCAGGGACACGATGAAAGTTAATATCATAATGAGCTTTCTTACGAGCATTGCAATCCGCGAATGCACACCCATCTTCCACCATCATCCTCTGCTTCTCAGAGTCTGGCCTGTACAGCGGGGCTCCGGGGGCGGAGCTTGGGTTTGTGACATAAGAAATCTCACTGTTTCTGAACCTGCCATTTGGGTCTGCCAGAGGTTCACACAGTGTTGCCAACTCCTCAGGAAGGAAAGTCGCTAGTGGCTGTCGTAAAAGTTGCTAGAATTTGCTAGATGACGTCATCGCCTAATTTGCATAATTTCTCTGTCACTGTCACAACCAACCCCCCCACCCCAGGGAGGAGGAGGAGGAGGAGGAGGAGGAGTCTTCCGTGGGTTGCCTGAGTGTCTGTGTTTTTGATGCAAACCGGCCACCCGTTGAGAAGAGTAACATCTATTCCTGCGTTTATGTTGGAGTCTCTAAACTCCCGAAAAAGTTGCTAGATTTGTCGCTAGGTGCTTTTTTGAAAATAAGTCACATAACACTGGATTCACATCGATTTGAATCAAGAAATATTCAGAAACGCAATTCCACACTTACTTTTTTGGTGTTATTTCCTGTAGCAGAAAAACATGATTTTCATCGGAGTGGGTCTTTAAGGGTTCTCGTTCAGTTATTTTAAAGTATTTCATCCTCTCTTCTCTCTCTCCCCTGTGCTCTGTTCGTGGTGTCAGAGGGCAGCACATTGCACAGACCCCAGCCCCTGCCTCCATCCTCCATGCACCAGGGAGGTCTGAGTGCTGACAGCAGCTCCGCTTACGGCCTCTCATCCAACCGACACAGCTTCTCCAGCTACTCCGACACCTTCATGAGCCCCTCGGCCTCCAGCAACCACATGAACCCTGTGGGCAACGGCCTCTCCCCACAGGTCAGACCAACACTTCTCACCTCAGTACATCTGCAAGGATAATATAATGTTCCCCATGTAAAGGTGTTGTTCTTCGCTCTACTATCTCTCCTCCTCCTCCTCCTCTTCCTCCTCTTGAATGTAATTGTATTTGACTGGAAATTAAAATTCAGAAACAGCATGTTCAGCAAACTCACTGGCAGTGTAGGCTTTTATGTTCGCTTTCCAAAGCCCCTGGATTTATTTTAGCTACTCCAAATTGCTACATTTGTAAAACAATTGGATTAACATCAACAAATTAAAATTCATCTTGATAGCACCGCAAGTACTCGAGCTGCTCCAAACAGCCATTTTTCCCCCGACTTTCCTGGGACATCTAAATCCTGCAGAACACATGCAGATGAAATAATTAGCTAAAGCTTATAAATGTAGACCCATAATCTTCTTCACGTAATTGTCTGCAGCTGGAAGACTGCAGTGCTATGTGTGATATTTTCTCCTCTTCGTCGCTTTATTGCAAAGCGGTTCACGCAGAGGCGATGTGTTTTTCCCTCCTGCTGTCCTGTTATGATAAAGAACAACATTACCCAGGTTTCTTAGGTACACAGGCCCTTGAGATGTCAGCATATATCTAAAATACTGCATCCTCTATTCTTTATGTTCGCCTGCTTAATGTCTGATACAGCATGTGTGGGATTTTTAGCCTCCTCTTTGTTAAAAAGCGGCAGGATTTTGCATGTTGGACACCTCCATTAATGAGCGTTTAAACACGGCTCTGTGCTAAGGGTTGAGCCTTAAGTAGCACAGAATGAAAAATGATTTGTATTGATGCAAATCGTGTGTACGGACCGAATTATACACAATTACCCATCAATACTGGCCAGTCTTGCCCACCCTCACCAACAAGATGTGGTTAACAGGCAGAAAATAAGATTGAAATGGTGTGTAAAGAGTTGAAAATGAATTTCAATGCTGCATTTGTCCACAATTACCCCGTCGTTCACACGTGTTTTATTGGGAGTTTTTTTTTTTTTTTTTCTTCTCCTTCAAATATTTCTCAAAGCAGATTGGAAACATTCTTGGTATTACCCTCTTTCTTCGGAGAAGAAAGAATTAAGGATTTTGTGACAAAAAAGAGATTTTCTCTCCTGCTGCAGCGACAGAGGATAACATGGAGGCTCACAGCGTGTTTGATTGTTAATCGTGGCACAGGGGCTTTAACTGCTAATGCTCTCACTGCAAACCTGCAGAAAAACACCAGGAACATGGAGACGTTTTTTTTTTTTTTTTTTTTTCATTAATGGCTCTCTCTAATACTGGCATGGGGCGCTCTGTCGCTTTCTCTCCCTCTCTGCTCTGGCATTCAAGAATGTGTTGGGATATTAAACATTTCCTGTCATAGTGAGGATTAGGACAGAGCCTTTGGGCAACTGTACAGCACGGATTTCCCCTTTTCAATTACTCCATCAAGTGGGTTTGATTAAAGTCTTTAAAATAAAAACACCTGAAATATTATTTAGTTATTTTTCAGACTTTAAAATATGGATTTACTGTTTTTTTTATGGGGTCTATGCATGTGGTGTGGCTGTTTAGACACGTCACACCATGTTTGCACTGCTCTGAATTGAAATGTATTGAATGCATGCAGAATGCTGTGTGGCATTCCTATCAATCTCTCAGCATGGAGATGAATGTTCCCACTGACAGCAGAATCACAGTTCACTCTGTGGTGCAGCCTCCCGCTGGGCTGGGCAGCCTCCATCTCTCCCTCCCCTCTTTATCTCTCTCCCTCTTTCTTCACAAACATACAGAAAACACACCAACAGGTTTGCTCTCTCTCCTCTCAAGACTTTTCTTTTGTCTTTGCGTTCGACCAAATGTCAATCAAAGAGAAGATCGGAAAAATAATCTTTGGAGAATTATCATCTGTGTATTTTTTTTCCCCCCACTCGTGTCGTTTTCCCTCCCTGCACTGGCAAAAGTAGCATCACAAAGAGGCTTTCTATCAGGATGGAAATGAGAATTTGATATTGTAAGTTACAGACAGCATCTGTTTGGAGCAGATATGCTTGTGCACTGGTATGTGCAAGCTATTCCACCAAGTGTCTGGCATTGATGGCCTAGCCTGTCGCTGTAAAGATTGACAAAAAAATTCTCTGATTCCCAGTAAATGGGCTGCTGTGGCGAGGTGCCAAGTCTGTAATGGAATCCTGCAGCGTTCAGCAGTCCCGACAGGAGCTCGCGTCCATCCCAATCCCATAACCTATCCCGACAGCGCACATTTTCCCATTACAGGCTGCTGGAGAAGCCATCCGCACTCAAACTGGTGGCTGTCAGAGAGGCAGATGCAGCGTGTTGGGCTGGGTGAGGGAGGCACAGTGTGTGTGTGTGTGTGTGTGTGTAAGAGAGTGACGCTGTGCATGGCTGGGCAAAAGGTATGAAACCAGAAGTGTGTTTTGTTGTTGGTCTTGTTTCATTTAGAGGCACAGCAGGTGCTGGAAAGAGGGAAAAGCAAAAGCTGGAGACAGGAATGCCAGCGTTTTTCACCTGAAGATTTAAGCTTGAGTCTGTTTTTTTATTATTATTATTATTGAAGTCTAAAACTTTCCTTTGAAATAAGCATTTTGGACTTTTTTAATGGCCTTCATGGTGTCTTCAATTTGAATTTAGCATCTTTATTTACTTTTCACAATGAACTCTGTCAATTTTTGAACGTTTTTAACCGAACCAGCTTCAAGAAAAACTCAGAACAGGCTTTAAGACGGTTTTAAAAACAATTTGGTAACACTTTATACAACGCCTATCTCTATAAGCCATTATAAATATATGTATAATGCATTATAATCATGTTATAGCACTATAACTACAGTTATAAAGAGTCATAAATGATCATAATGCTTTTTAGAAGTAATCATAACACATTATAAAGCATTTTCTCATGACTTACAAGTTCAGGTATTATATTGTGTTATAACTGTTAATAACAGTTGCATTGCATTATCTATGTGGGTATTGTCAGTGAGTTATTAACACTTATAACACATTATAATACCTGACCTTGTAAGTCATGATAAAATGCTTTATAATGGGTTACGTCTCTTGCTATAAAGCATTATGATCATATATGAGTGTTTATAACTATAGTTATACAGTGCTATAACATGATTATAACACATTATACATATATTTGTAATGCGTTATAGAGATAGGCGTCAGATAAAGTGTTACTGATAATGCAATGCAACTATTGTTAACAGTTATAACACGTTATGATTATTGCTATAAAGCATTATGATCATTTATGAGTGTTTATAACTGTAGTTACACAGTGCTATAAAGTGATTATAACGCATTATACATATATTTATAATGGCTTATAGAGGTAGGCATCAAGTTAAGTGTTACCAAAGACTTCCTAAGTTGTGTTGCATTGGTGAGGAGACATTTAGGCTCAATTCCTCATTATTGCATGACAGGGACACCTGCTGGGAGAAGAAAGAAAACAACTGCACTGACGGGAAGAGGAGAAAAAGAAACCATAGAGGAGCTCAGCTGCAGAGCTTAGGTTTCACTCCACAGAGAAATTTCTAGAAATAATGACATCAGGGCTTCAGAAGGAGGGTGAGAGTGCTCTGTTGTATGAGGTTAGCAGTGTGATAAGGACCTGTGATGGTGTGGACGGAGGTTTTATTCCTGTTCTGATGAAGGAGGTCGACAAAGTTTCATGAGGAACTTTTTTCTGTTTCGCAGTTTTATAAGAGTGTTGTGTGTTTTGGAATGACAAGGATGTGTGTGTGTGTGTGTGTGTGTGTATCTGCAGAGGGCCTTTGGGCTGTGTGAGTGGGCCGGGCCTCCACACATATACACGCACACACACACACACGTACACGGGATCAGAGGCAGAGCGGCTCTCACCCCTGCCTCCCTTTGATCTGTGTCCCCAGGCCTGCCTGCCCGCGCGGCGCTGCACCGCACCACGCACGCTGACACCACGCTCACCAGCGACTCCCCACAACTGTCTGACAGAGATAAGCCAGGGGAGACTCCAAACTGTGCTGCTGCTCTTCCATTAGCTCGCGCAGACGCTTCTTTTAAAAAACGGGATGAATTATTTTTAAGAAGCAAGCTCTGCCGTTGCCAAAAAAAAAAAAAAAAAAAAAAAACGGAGAGGGGAAAATGTACGGAACAATCTGGAGCTCTGGCTTCATTCCGCCTCCCTCCCTGACTTCTAACAAGACATCCTGCACCTGAATACCAATGAGAGGGGGAGATTCGTGTAGTCCCCCACATTATTAAAACTTGGGCATTAAGCCTCTCACCGGGCACTGTGTCAGCTGGCAGGCTCCACTGACAACAAATCAAAGGGGATGAGCACATAGCCTGCATTCACAGCTCCGCCACTCGCAGAGCAAGAGGGGGAATACATACTGGTTAATTAGAACTCCCATTAAAACAAATACTGTTTCAATTTGGCAAGTATAAAAAAAGATGTAAGAGGCTTTCAGAAAAAAGAGACCTGCTGTCGGCAGCTGCCAAGAAAATCCAGGGACTGTAAATCATATCCACTGGCTATACTGTTTCTGCACAGATTATTAGTGTTTGCTGTTGTTTTTGCAACACTTCTGAACTCGGAGGAAAGATTTCTGCTGCTCTGACACCACAAATGCATCTCTGCAAATAGACCTGCTGTGAGACTCATAGATTTATCTGTATCGGCCTTTCAGTGTGCATAAAGAGTGGCATTGGAACCAGCTGGTGTATGCAAATGCAGATCTGGCACCATCATTTGTCATCTCCAGAAACTTAACCGCATCTTTGTGCAGCAAACTTGGGAGCCACCAGAGCTTTTCAGAACCATGAAAAAAAAATCACATTGGGCCCCTTCCCAACCAAAAATGCTGTCATGTATATCCAGACCGCTGTGATTAATGGGTCCTTAGTTTAGTAATGTTAGCTTAAACTAGAAAAACATCAATTATATGCATATTTTCTGATTATACTCATATTTTAGGAGCACTTTGTATCTGTTCGAGTTTCAATATTAGTGTCTGATATCAGATTTCTTTTTCTAAATATCACATTGGGCCCCTTCCCTACCACAAATGTTCTCATATATTTGTAACTAATAGGTCATTAGTTTTATCCCAACTTTTGGTGCTCCGAGCTGCAGAGTGAAATGTTAGCTTAAACTAGAAAAACATTAATTTAGTTTGCATATTTTCTCATTATACTCATATTTTAGGAGCATTTTTCTATCCGTCAATATCTGTCCAAGTTTCAATATTAGTCTGATATCTGAACATTTCTTTCCAAATATCACATCGGGCCCCTTCGCTACCACAAATGTTGTAATATATAATTCATGGGTCCTTAGTTTTATGGGTCCTTAGTTTTGTCCTAACTTTTCTTTCCCGTATGGTTGCTCTTGGCTGCAGAGAGTGTAACGTTAGCTTAAGCAAGAAAAACATTAATTACATGCATATTTTCTCATTATACTCATATTTTAGAAGCGTTTTATATCCGTCGATATCTGTCCAAGTTTCAATATTTCAATATTTCTGTCTAGTGTAACTTCATTGGCCCTCTGTTAATAACGCGTCTGTATTAGTTTTAGATTTCCACATGCATGCCCTGCAGCTTTAAGAAGTGTAACATACGTTTAATCATGGTTTACCTCATCTAAACTCAAAGATTCATAAAGACCTGAACCCACACTAGAGCACATCGAGGTTGTAGCTTCTCCTGCTTTAAATTTGGCTCTCTCTTTTGCTAGCAGCGACGACAGCGCTGCAGCTTACATCCGCCTGTGTACCTGAGCCATTTGTTGCTTCCTCCATCTTTTTTTTTTTTTTTTTTTGCTACATCTCTTGAGCCCCCCACTGAAGCCCTTTTCTTCTCTATTCCAAAATATTTTTGGTCTGCGCTTTATGCATTCATAATCTATTTTTCACCTACCAACCTTCCTTCCCTCCATTTGGCTTTTTGTCATCCCATGATGCCTTGCCAATTGCGCTTTGCTCTGTCTTTCTCCCTCTCTCCCTTCTCTCTCTCTCTCCCTCCCTCCCTTTCTCCCTACCTTCCTCTGGTGCTCCAACTCTCTCCCCTGGAGAGGCAGCTCTTCTTCCCTACGCCCAGATGAAAGGCTACGGCGGACAATAAAAATGCTATTTAAATGCAAGGGTGTTTGTGTGCGGGTGAGAGATATTTCCTGCTGAAAGTGAGCTGCTGCATCCTGATAAATAGTAAATATAAGGGAATGTGATTTACATTTATCTTGCAGAGGCAGCCAATATGAATTTCAGTAAATCCTAGAAGATGGGGATTTAAGGAGGGAAAATGACTGCGACTGATTCTCATGCTGTGTGTCCCACGCAGTTGAAATGCCTATAAGGTGGAGAGTGGAGGTGCCTTTTATTAAAGTATAGGCGCAGACATCGATCCTATCTAAAATAACCTATTACACACACATAGACACACACACACAGACAGACACACACTGTGTCACATGTTCACCCCGCCTCGTATTCACTCAATTTGAAGGTGACTTGTATCAAAATTACAACAGTAGTTAAATTCACTCTTCAAGCGTTCAGGTGAAGTGTGGGTCGGCGAAACGCTGGGTGACCCTTCTTCTCTTCGGGGTTAAAAGTCAGGGTGCACGGGGTCATGGGACAGCCAGAGGGGAAGAAGAAGAAGAAGGGGAAGGAAAGGGAGGTCTGGTTCGCTGTGAACCTGTCCTTCTAGCTGGAGGTCCAGAGATGTTGTCGGGCTGCATGTGGTTCTTCTTAGTTCCAGATGCCACTCTGACAGGTGCATCGCTGTGATTAATACTCTCTCTGACTCTTTCTCGCACCCTCGTTCTCTCACTCTGTCCCTCTTTTCCCTCCATCTCTCTCTGTCTCTCTCTCTCCTTCAAAAACAATCGCGTCTTTTATCCTCCTCTCTTCCCTCCTCCTCTCTTCTTCCTCACAATCAGACGAGGATCTGGGAGGTGTGCGGGTCCTCAGCTGGTCGTCTCCGGCAGCAGCTCCTCTCCTCTCAGTCTCCAGCTGAGAGCTATTTCACTATTTATTTACATGTAATTATGGCTATGAGGTGCAGATATTAACACTGTCAAGAACAATTTGACCTGACATTTTTCACCAGACCTGGCCCCTGCTGTTTTTAGCAAACATCCCCCCCCTACTCTCCCCCCCTCCTCTTCCTTTCCTCCGTCTTCTTCCTCCCTCTTTTTCTTCTCCTTCCCTCCCTCGATCCGCCTCGCTTTCCTCCTGGAGCCTGTCCCTCTGCGCACACACACACACGCACACACACACACGCAGGCCCTGCCTCGCTGAAACCACTCTCCTGGAATCAGAAAATCTGCCGTTTAATTTAGAAGAGGCGTTGGTGCAAGGTGCAGAGAGCTGGAGTCAGTGTGTGTGTGCGTCTGTGGATGTTTGTCCATGAATGTGTGTGTGTGTTAGTGTGTGTGTGTGTGTGTGCCCAGGCCTTGAAGGGGCCTCTCTTGTTCCCAGTGGCTGAATCCATCCCATAGTTACTCAAGCATATCACTAGCAGAGAATAGAGGATTGCTCCCCACACGTTCTCCAATTGCAGTCCAATAGACGGCATATTAACCTCTGGTTAGTGCGGGGCCGAGTTTATAGCTTTTACTGAGGGACGTTTAGGAGCGAGGGGGTGAGGAGGGGTTGGGTGGGGGGGCGGCTCTCTCCACCTCGAGCAGCTGTGCTGTCTCGAACACTGAAGGCTGCCCTAAGTTACAGCAGTCTTTAGAGGGTTTTGTTTGATGATGATCTGCAAAGAGAGAGAGGAAAATGGGGCCGAAAATCCTGAGAATGAATAAGATTTATTTACAATCTCAGTGCAATGAGCTCAATCACTTTGTAAAATGTGGATTAAAACAGATTTTGATGGTTTGCGAATCCTTTAAATGCTCAGTTTAATTTTTAAAAAATTTACAAAAACAACAAATCAAATGTTAAAACTGCAGCACATTTGAAAAACTGAAAACAAGGAAACAAAACACAAAAAAAACTTATGCTAGAAACATTTAGATTACCATATTTTCTGGACTATAAGTCACTCTGGAGTAGAAGTCACACCAGCCGAAAAATGCATAATAAGAAAGAAGAGGAAACCATATGTGAGTCACACCTGTGCAAAAGTCGCAGACCCAGCCAAACTACGAAAAAAAGAGCGACTTATAAAAATATAATAATAAATTTTATTTATAACACGCTTTTACAGGTGCTCAAAGACGCTTCACAGAAATAAACACAATATAAAATACAGAAAATTTAGAGTAATAAGACCAACAGTGTAGAAGGTTAAAAAAGACGCAGTATGAAAAGACAATAAAAGAACAGTTCACGGGTTAAAAGCCAATTTAAAAAGGTGTGTTTTTAGGAGAGATTTGAAAGTATGGGGGTCTGTACAGTCTCGGATGGGTTTGTGTATTCCAGAGGTTGGGGGTGGCAGTGCAGAAGGCGTTAGTTTAGTCCTGAAAATATGTTAATTTGCAACAGGTTAGAAACATGACTTGATATGAAAGGAGCATCTCAAAGAGGCGGAGTCTGTTAGAGGTCTCTGTGAGAGACTGCGTGAGGAAACAGTTGAGCAATTCTGAATATGAGGAAATCATTAACTGGTACAAAAAGTCAATCAAAGATTCAACTGAGACAAGGCTCAAAACTAACTCTAGATATCTGTGATCTTTGGGCTGCTAAGAGGGCACTAAGGCATGACTCTTTAGTGGGTGTCACTGCATCAAATCCAAAAAACATCATTTGCAGCACAATTTTTATTCAGTCTGGACTTAAAATGATTTACAATTCAGTAAAATTTCAACACTTTCTTCAGCATCCTGACTCTTTTCATCGACTCTCCGCTCCTTTGTGTGCAGGAATACTGCGAGCAGACGCAGGCGCGGGGTGGCTAACGTGTTGTGAGGAGTGACAGCTTGTTCCAGTGCCCACTAATCGTCCTCATCTGTGCCTGACTTGTCAATGCCCAGATTCTGTCAGTGCCAATCAGCCCATTAATTGAACACAATTAGCACCCCCACCCAAACCCCCCATATCCACCACATTCTTCAAAGGCCCATTCCTCCCACCCCCCGCCCTTCCTCCTCCTTTTCCCCCTAACTCTCATTCTGCTCCTGTCTCTTCATCCCGTGGCGCTCTGTGGAAGACACTTTTCACTTTTTATTAATGTGCCGCGGCCAATTAACGCAGTGGCATGCAGGCCAGAGCCCGTCATCTGCTGCCTGCCACCGTCCCCGGCTGTCTGCTGCTGCTACTACTACTGCTGCTGCTGCTGCTGCGGCCCCCACGCCACCCCGCACGCCACCTCCACCCGTGACCAAAACGCTTTAATTCAATTTATGCAATCACTGTTATTTTTAAATAGTCATTTTGTCTGCTCAGATGAGGGGCCTTACTGCCCGCTGGGCTGGCCCTCTCATGTGAGGGGGTAGGGGGAAGGGAGAAACATGGGGGGCGCAGGAGTCGACTGACTCGAGGCGTGGGTGGGGGGATCCCTGATATTTTCATTTGTTATTTACTTCTTTTATGGCTGTTAAGTTTCAGGTTTTGGGGTAATTTAAAGCAGGTTCTTCATGTGGTTTAAAGGCAAAGATGATTAAGGTTGGAGGAGAAATATCCGCGTGTTTCGGCTTTTATATTTCTGATTTTCTTTATTTAATATTTGAGCTGCTCTCAATGTCAGACACTCTCCAGACACTCTTACCTTGTTACTCCAGGGTCACACATGTAAACACTATTCTCTTGTTGTAATCACACCCTCAGGACTGGCCCTCAAATATTGATCTAAAATTCAGTGTCATCACTCTGGATCTCTAATCACCCTCTGCTGCTGCCATCAGTATCAGCCCGGCTCATCTGCTAAGGTGCGAGATGCTATTCTGCAGCACTCAGATAACTTACAGACATTTGGAGTGCTCATTTTCCCCCATCTGCCCTGCTGACCTCTGCCTAACTTAAAGGTACATCTCGGGGGCATTTTGATTTGGGCAGAGCAGGGAGCTATCGGTGACAGAGGAACTAATCCAGTCCTGCGCAGATTAAGAGTATTTGTGGAGTGGGGTGTGTTGGCGCTGGCGCCGGGGATGGAACAGAAGGGGCTCCTATCAGCTCTCCAGGCAGGCTCGCCCTCAGGCCAGCGCAGTCCTACAGGAGTCTTTGTACTTCCCAAAGCCTCCACTTTCCCCTCGCTCGCTGTGGATCACTTTCTCCTCTGCCCCCTTCGCTCTATAGGCGATCATATTTACACCGCTTTATTTCCTCTCTTTGCATTCGTGGTTTACTGTTTGTTTTAGTCACAAGAAAAGTGTGATTTCTGTCAGGTGTTAAAACAGAGAGCAACTGATGCTCTTTTTTTCTTCTTTAACTTTTTTTTCATGAATCACCATATTTGGGGAATCTTTATTTAGTCATCCAAAGCAGTGGTTTGAGCTCATAGATCCTGAATGCTGGGTACAAGATGGTGACAATGACATTCATTTCACTTCTGCACAGCATGAGTAACATAATTCAAAGAGAACTGAAGCTAACAGGTAACATTTTTTAGGTTTTTTGTTTGTTTAGAGAGTCTTCCATCTGTCATTACAAGGTTAACCAGTAAACGTGTTTAAAAAAAGGGGTATACCAATATCTAATGACCCAGACCCACTGAAGTAAGAAACAGAACACCTAGACTAGGCTGTGACAACATACATACATGATTACTAGTAGATTTATCTTGGTATTTATTGGTGTTTATTGTAATTGGAAATGTAATGTCATCATAATTCTTGTTATCTTAGTTATGATTTTAACATCTTGTATAATTCTTCTGCTTGGACTTTTATCATTTTAATCTATACAAATGTTTACTTTCTTCTTGTGAACCCCAGGAAGAGTAGCTGCTACTTAGGTAATAACTAATGGGGATCCAAATAAATAAATAAAAACCGAATAAATACTGAGTCTTTTCCCAAAATGAATCACTCCAAACACTGGATATGTTAAACCTTATGGGATAAACAATATTTTTCTCCATATTAAGCAGGATTGACTCATAAAGATGAAAATGCCAAAGATTTTATTATGTGGTAGCATGAATGGTGCAATAAGACTAGGAATTATCTTGAAAACAGACTTTAAGTTTTATTCTGCAAACTCCAAAAAAGATTTAAAAGCAACAGAAACTCCTAAGATGCAATAAAACCTCATATTTTCCTACATATTTAAACTGAAATATGAAGAATTGATGTCTTTTCACGCTCAGCATTGTGAGCCCAATATGTCTGAAATAGAAAAACAGAAGTACTTCAGCACTTTTCAGCACATCTGCACTTTATTTCTTTCCTCTCGTCTTTGTTTATGTTTTCTTCTCAGTCTTTCTGTCACATTGTTTTATTCTGGAAAAGAAACCCGACAAAGAACATCTCGTCAAACATTCCCACAGACAATAAAAAAAAATGTAATTTGACTGTTGAAGAAATTAGGAGGTATGAAAGGCCCTCTTTTTGTGTCTCAAGTGCACTATTTATTTATCTGAAAGGATGCACATTGTATCAATTTGCACTTCCCCGTTCACTTCGCCACAGGCTGGAGGGCTCAGAAGTTGAGAGAATTAATTACTTTTTTATTATTATTTATAAAGTAATCTATCTGCAGAGAGAGAGAGAGAGGGAGTGGAAAAAGGAGAAGGAGAGAGTGAGGAGGAGGAGGAGGAAGAAGAGGGGGAGGGAGGCAGGGAACGCCCTGGAGCATTGTCCTTTAAACTAGGTCCTGGCTCACATTATCTCCCAAACCAGCACTCACACAACGTCGAACAACAAACGAACTCCGGGCTGCTGAGGACGCTGAGTGCAAGGAGAGAGAGAGGGAGAAAGAAAGGGAGAGAGGAGGAGGAGGGGGAGGAAAGGAAGGGAAGGAGTAAAGTCTTCTCTGCAAAGTGTGGGGAGTGTGTGAGGAAAACTAAGTGGCTGTAAAGAGGACTCAAATTCAAACTAATGTTTAAGTAAATGAACCTTCAAGACGACTAGACTCAATCCATCTATCAAATACTGCAAAGACGGAGAGCTTGTCAATCAAAGGCCTGTCTTTTTTTGAGAGTATATTAAGCCTGGGAAATTTTTAACGTTAATAGAAATGCTTTCAGTTTCTCTAAGTGAGGGAATTAAATGGAAAACTTTTGCATTCATGTGTGCAAGAATCTAAATATTTTGATGCATGTATTGCAAGCAGTGAGAGAGATGCACCAAAGTATACAGCTGCATTTTTATTTAACCTTTAATGTGACATTAAGAACCTTTTTTTCAAGGGAGTCCTGGCCAAGAGACAGCAAACACAAAATACAGTTACATCTTTGCATAAATAAGACACAGAACTTCAACACATTATGAGAAACAAGTGCATATTGTGGAATTGGCCTCAATAACTCTCAGTTTGGATTTAAAAGTTTTTAAAGAAATTTAGTCTGTCAGTTTCCAGTCTTTCTGAAGTATATTCCATTAATAAAGTGAATAAGTTTATTGGTGGAAGAGTCATTTAACATTTTATTTAAAGTCATAGAAGTTTGCTGGTTGCAAAAATACGAAATAAACCTCAATGTGTAACCTTCAATCCTGTATAAGTGCTTAAAAGAAGATGCTAAATAACCGCGATACTGCCAAACAGAGCAAAGAGAGACTGGGATGACAACACTGAAGGAGCATGGATTTTTTTTTTTCACAGTCCAGAAGAGCTTATACCTTCTCCCCTCGAGCCAAAATCTTGAAATCACTGCATTTCAGTCATCTCTCCGGACTGAAGAGATGACTGAATGTCCTCACATAACAACACTTCACTCGACTCTAATTGCGGCTGACCCGCTCTTCTGCCTTAAAATAGCGAAAGCTGCTCCAATGTCAACGATAAGAAGTCATTTTCTTTTGAAGAACTTTTATGAGCATGAATAATACCCGGACTGATTGTTGGCTATTCTTTTCCATAAGGAAGCGATGCAATCAAGGTTCAATTAACCAATGACTAAATTGGACTCATGCCCTCCAGCTGTCTCTCTCAGGACACTTAACAACTCCCACTCCTCCTCCTCCTTCTCCTTCTTCTTCTTCTTCTTCTTCTTTATTGTCAACTATTACAAACCACCAGTACATATTCTCCTCTCCTCTCCTCCTCCTCCTCCTCCTCCTCGTCTTCCTCTTCCTTCTCTTCTTGGCTCCATATGTGAGTGAGCATCACATGTGTCCGGCATACAGAGGGCCATGAATCTCCCCTCTTATGGATACATGTCACATGCTCTGTCTGCAGATGTGGACGGGACGGGGCAGAGTGGGGGTTTCCATGCTGATAGAATTAACATGTGGAAATGACTAAGCAGCCTTTATGTTTCTGATATGCTGCGGGTGCTTTATATTTCCTGGGGGGCCGTCTTTCTAAAAATATGATTAATTTATAGAAAACTCTTTGTTTGCCCTCTCTGGGCTATTCCAGGCTCGGTGCATCATTTGTGGACTGTTTGTCTGCTGAGTTTGTGTGTGCATGCATGCGTGGGTTCATGCATGCAAACATATGTGTGTCTGTGTGTGTGTGTGTGTATGTGTGTGTGTGTGTGTATCACCCCTATGTAACCACCTCCATGATGGACTAATTGGTTTAGCAGCCGAGGGGCCAAAGGGCAGTGCGGCATAGCAAAACTCAACATGAACCTGATGTTGAAGGGAAGCTGGCCCTGCTATAGGAGGGAAGCATGTGTGGGACAATTCCCTTTTTTACCACCCCCCCTCCCACACACACACACAGACACACACACACACACACACACTCCACTTTCCTTTTTCACTTAAAGAAACTCGCAGCATAAGAAAACAACATTTTTCACAGTGTTCTGGGCCGCTGCGCTTCAGACTGCAGCAGCAGCACTCGAGGTAATCTCTTCCATTTTAACATATTTTGAGACCTTCTTCTGACGAGTGTCACATGCTATTACATTAATCTAGAATATTGAATTGGAAGCTTTTATGCACTATGAATAATATACACACTGTGATATTCAGGCCAGCCTCAACCTGCAGTATCAGCGGGCCCCTCAGTGAGGTTTGTGGAGCCTACTTTGTGTGGGGATCTGAGGGGATCATTTACCAGTTCCAACTCCATTACTATTCATGAGATGGGTAGGCTAGGGGCGAGGGATTAGGGACTCCCTTGGTGCTTGTTGTGCTGTAGGCTCGGGCTCAGGCCTCAGGCTCCGGGACAGGGGCTGTCTGGCACGGATGGTGGGTCTATTATCACCCTGGGACCCTTCTGTCCCACAGCAGAACACTTACTGGCAGCGCCAGCTAATGGAAACAGTCTCCCTTGTTCCCTTTCTCCTTTTTCTAACCTCATCACCCTCCTTGTATCCTTCCCCCTGCTCTTTAAAAAAAAAAAAAAAAAAGATGGGGGAAGTTTTCCCATTCCCTATTTCAAAGTTGAAATGGCATATTTCTATTGGCTTCTTTACCGTGAAGAGCTGGGATGGCTCTATATTTGCAGGAAAAAAGTACTTTCCCTCAACTCTGTCAATGCTTTGATCCTCAATTTTCCAAATTTCTAACATCCTCCGTTTCCCCCTCACTCCACCCTCCCCCAGGTGATGAGTATCCTGAGCAACCCCAGCGCCGTGCCCTCCCAGCCCCAGCACGACTTCTCCATTTCCCCCCTGCACAGCAGCCTGGAGAGCTCCAACCCCATCTCCGCCAGCTGTAGCCAACGCTCCGACACCATCAAGAGCGTGGACAGCCTGGCCTCCTCCCAGTCTTACTGCCCCCCCACCTACAGCGCCACCAGCTACAGTGTGGACCCCGTCACTGCGGGATACCAGTACAGCCAGTATGGACAGAGTGAGTATAATCCTGGATCTACACTTGCATATATACTGTATGCTTGACTTTAGCTTTGGTTTTCTGCACATATCTGGGACTTCTGAGAACATTTTCATTCCTGGTACTGAGGGCTGGGCGATACGGTAAAAAGTTTATCACAATATATTTTTTTCATATCAGTCGATATCGATATAAAACATGAAATAAAAATAAAATTTAACAGTGCTTATTGGTAGCATGTACTTTGCAATACAATAAGCTACTGAATCTGTGAGGTCTTTGTGTCTCCTTGACGTTTTGTCGCAAGGCGTTGCACTAGAGAAAGCGGACTGAATGGTCGTCTGTTTTCGGTGGTAAAGAGCTATGGTTGCGTGTAGTTGCAGCCTGATACCACGCATTTTTTTGCTTCTTGGTTCTAATTCAGCACATGATTGGTTCAGCGTGAAGTAACTCCCCAGAAACTCCCCTTTTCATTGGCTATTCGTATAGTCTATCAAAACATGTCAGAATGACGACTATCGAAAAGCATATTGACCATGTTTTATATTGATATCAAGGGAAATTAATTTTCGATATATATCGTTATCGTTATATTGCCCAGCCCTACTGGTACTTAAAATAGAGATACTCAAACTATTGTTAAAAAACACTCTTTCCTAACTAGCATTTTTTACAGTGTTAAGTGACTTGTGATACGCTCGAGTTACCTTGGAAGTCAGATGTCGAAGCTGAAGTGTTTCAGTTTCGAAGTCGGCGAAAAGCAGAAACAAGATGGCTACCTTTGCCTTGCCTTGTCCTTGCTTATATTCAGACAAGGCAAGCGCTAAAATAACTTTCATAGATGTAGCCATCTTGTTTCCACCTCCGATTTTGCCTTTTTCCGACTTGGTAACTGAAACGCAGGTAATTCGGGTGTGACGTCATTTTCAGCTCCGTTATCTGACTTCTGAGGTAACTCAAACACAGCGTTGGTTATATCCTCGAAACTTTAGCTAATTTTTAAATAATTGGTGATAATATTCGATCAGTGATACCTGATTGGACATCAACATCAGAGCAACTCTTCCATATTTGAGAGGGTGTTTTTTGTCTCTCTCTGTGCCCAAACAACAGCAGTTTGTTCTTTTCCGTCCTCTGTCTCGATTCGAAGAAATCTTTTTTTAAGTGATGCCCAACTCCCAGTCAAGAGAGCCTCCTGACCTTTGCACTCTAGTCGGTGGAGACAGACACGTGCTCTTGATAAAGAGACCCCCTCCAAACACCACCACCACCACCACTAACACCAGCACCATCCTCCTCGAGAGCTGCCTTAGTCACACCCCACTCCACTTGGATGGGAAAGAGGAGAGGGCCACTTCAAAGTAACGGCACACCCTCAGGGGCCACAGTGTCCTCTTGCCCACCTCCCTCTCTTTCCCTCTTTCCCTTCTTTTCTCTGTTCTCCATCATACACACATATATACACACACAGCCTCGGGGCAGGAAAGAGTTTGCTTTATTAGATTAGCATAATTGACTGATGCTGTCACAGCCATTCACATGAGGTAAAATGAAGCGCACTTCCCGCACAAGCTAGCTAGCGCCAGGTAGCTAACATTTGTTTGTATTTATGTGCAGTTTCTCGGTGAATTGTGAAGCGTTTCTTTCTTTCTTTTGGTAGTGTTTGTGTTTGTGTGTGGATGCGCATGCACGTGCGGATCGGTCCCGTTCTACAGTATGTGTGCACAGCCGTGTTGTTGTCAGCAGCAGCAGCAGCAGAGAGGGAAAGTGATGGCAGCGCGGATGTGAGCTGATGTGAGGTTAATTAAGATGGTGATTGAGCACAGTGGATGGGTAATGAATGGAGGAGAGAGGAGAGAGCTGCTGTCTGACGATGAAAATGATCGGCCATGTGGAGTGTGGAGGGCATGAAATCAGAGATGCCAAGTGTAATGAAGACTGGCACACAGAACACACACGGGGAGCCATGTGAGTGACAGCGCCGAGACTTTTAGCAGGATGCACATGCTCGGTGCCAGCGGCGTGCCAACCTCAGACAAGAGGACATGGGAGGGGTTTTTATCTTTCACTCTCTCTGCATGAATTGTTTTTTATTTGACTCACTCGCTTCTGCCACAACTTATTTCAGCCTTAATCAGAGAAATGAAACGAGTCTGAATGGAACATATGTGTCAGGAATCAACTACCTGTCTGATGTGAGATTTTTTTTTTGTTTCTTTTCTCTGTTTCTGTTCAGCTGCTGTCGACTACCTGGCGAAGAACGTGAGCTTGTCCACCCAGAGGAGGATGAAACTCGGGGACCACTCAGCCGTGCTCGGGCTTCTACAGGTGGAGACGGGACAGGCCTACTGAAGCCACCCCCTAGACATGGACACCACCCTTCCTGCACCCACCTTCTTCCATGCACCATCAAGTCTGGACTCCAGCTCCCGCCATGACAGCAGAGCGTAGACACTCGGCAGAAAAAGCGACGCTCTGCGGGGTGTGACGAAGCACCTCAAGGAGTGGAATCGAACTCTTTCACGCCACTGACAGCCACAAGGCGGCTCTGCACACCGTCTCTTCCATATTCGGCGTCTCTGCCTCCATCCCCAGTCCCATAAAAAACATGTTTTGTTTTCCTCAAAAGGCCAGACAGGACCCTGAAGCACCCAGGAATGGTCGGCCGCCTTGGCCTCACTCCCTCTTTGTCATGGCTGCAGTCCAGCACACATCCAGAGCCATCAACAACATGTACTTTGACCTTGCTGTTCATAGTAGTTAACAAAGCCAATATCATTTGAACGCCTCTTCTTCTTGTTCTTTTTTGATATTGTTAAGATTATTGTTGCTGTTCTATGATTATGGTTAATGTGATTTATGTTGTTCTTTGATTCCACTCGTATCTCTTTTTCCCTGTTAGATGTCGGTGTGTAAAAACACAGAGCGGATGAGACGATATGGGAGTGAGTGTCTGTTGCGTGTGCATGTTTTTGTTTTTTTCCTGTTTTTTTCTTTCGCGTGTCGGCACAGTCTCACAAGAGAGAATGATTGTTTTCCAAGCTGCTGCTCCTCTCTGCCTGTTCCCTGAGCTCTAATGTTCGTGAGCGGTTTGACCTTCCCACTTTCATATTCGTCTTGACATTCCTAAAGAACTTGGCTACTCTGTGGGAAGTCTGGCTGGATGGATTCTGCAGGGAATTAAAGCAGCATTTTTGGCCGCCAATAGCTTTCCCCTTCTAACCTCCATCCCATCCTTAGCTGCGGTCCGTGGGGAGGCGGGGCATTGTTTGCAAAAACAGGATTGGGGAAATTAATGTATTTTGTTTAGAAATATGGACCTTGCCAAGGAGGGCTAACTCAATCCTCCCCTCGACGACTCCTCCTCCTCCCCCCTAAATCCCATCTGCTGGGAAACCCTGTGTGACTTTAAAGCAGATTAAATCACACAAAAATAATGTCAAAGCTAATTCACAGTGACCCTTCCCATCACGAGTCAGAATATCTGTTTTTATAGCCCCATTAGAACATTTTGTAAATGCACCTCTAGCTGGTTTAATCGAGCATTCCTCGAAACATTCCACGCACCCCCGTCTACGAATAAACTAGAAGCATTCCAACGCTCTCTGTTATGAGATTAAAAAGTACACAAGCTGTGGCATTCACATGCACTCTGGAAACTCATTTAATCCAGTCAGATGTGAAAGGGCACAGGTAACAGCGCTGATTGGCTCCCAACTCTTGGTCTCTAATCCTCTCACAGAATTGTACAAAAAGAAAAAGTGGAAACGAGACTTTTGTGTAGCACTCATAGTCGATTTTTGATATGATCCAGGACCAGCTGTTCCCTTGAGATGTGTGTGATATCTTTTTTTTTATTTTTAACATCAGTATCCTTTTGATGATGCTGATGTAGGCAGACAGGATTTAGTCCCTAGTCACCTTTAAACCCTGTACAGTAGCTGGAGCAGATTGTGTATTGTTTGTTTATAAAGAGTATGTTTTATACTAAAACACAGCTTATGTGGAGTGATAGGTAAGCGAGGGATCTGTGGAAGTAAATGTGTGATTTGAGTTTCCTTGACAGGCTTGTTTTTTTGTCTTTTTTTCCTGTTAGGTTTTGTTCTGATTGTATTTAATTGGTTTGACTTGTTTTGACCAAAAGTTTCTGGTTTTAGCCCAGGTAAGAATGAATTTGTATAAATTAGTACAATTAAAAATTCCATAAAAAAATGTTCCAATTGTATAAAAAGAGGATCAAACTGAACTCCATGAACCACACAGGACCACTGTATATTTCTAAAGGTGGTGGTTTAAAAGAAGCGTTTTGAGGCTGTTTTCTGACCACCTGATCTTACAGACTGATTGTAGAAGTGCAGACCAGACTTGATCACAGACTCTTAAAAAGACTTTGGTGTGAGAGAGCCCACCAGCGGTTCACAAGCACAACGAGGATGATGATGGTGATGGTGATGATGATAACGACAACGATGATGATGATGATGATGATGATGAAGCCGGTGAAGACGTCCTCTCTGCTTCTGGGACTCGATTTGTCACGTTCGATTTTGTTGGACCAATAAGACTCCAGGAGAGAAAAAGTCAAAAAGCAACTCTGACTCCGCACTGAATCACAGACTGCTCCTTCCGCTTCGACGCCTCACTCATGTGTATATTTTAAAAAGGAAGAATTTTAGAATCGTCTTTAGTGTATCAAACCCATTTCTAACACTTGCGTCAACAAACATTTGGATATTTAAACTCCTTTACCTCCTCCCCTCCCTCCCTTCTCCCTGTCTGTTCGACCCTTAACCTCTTTAGTTGCTTTCTGACATCTGTGCTTTGCTTTTCCTCCTTCTTCTGTTCCGCATGTGTGTATATTATCATGGTATAATTTATTCTGCTGTATGAAGTATTAGAGTAGTGGGAAACTTGTACTGGTATTTACTACCTTCAGCCTGTTGGTGTGTTTACTGTAACACTGGCGTAACTGTTATCAATTAAAGATCCAAAAAATTATTCAAACTTTTGTCGTTTTTTACAGTGTTTCCTCTAATATGTAGCCATTTTGTCCAGGTAGTTTTATCACATAAATGTTTGTGTGTGTAAGTAAATTCATGACGGAAAATATGAGCATAAACAATTTGTGCAATATCAGTTTCTATAAGGTGAGAATTTCTTGCTTTTATCAGGGTTTCTACGCAAGTATGGAAGTAGTTTGATCAATTTCCAGGTCTTAAAAAACATGAAAATTGAAAAATAAAGTATGAAAAAATATTTATGCCTCCAGACTATTACCACAGATCTAATATACTGTTTTCTAAAAATAGAAAAGTAGGTATTTCCAAAAATAATTCTTAAAAAGTAGGGCATGGAAAAGTATGAAAATTCTAACTGTGTAGGAACCCTTTTTTATTTTTATTTTTACATTTAGGGAGTCACTTACACAGAAAATTAGATGTGAGGCCATTACATCCAAATCCTGAAATTATTTACTACATTCTGTCATTTAGAAATTCAGCGATTGGTTAAAAAAAAACAGTTACGCAGATGAGAAAACAAGTGTAAATTGCAGCCTTTGTGCAAATTTTGCACTGAACTAAACCTGCATCTTTGCACTTTTGCACTAAAAGTGCATGAATACGGTCTGTGCACGATGTGTGTGTCCTCTGTGAGTGATCAGCCACATTAGCAGAGCCAGCAGACCACTCGTCAGTGTCCCAGAGCTGCTGATGTGATTAGAGAGTGATGAGAGCCCAGACGTCTCACACTCGGACTCTCAGACTCAGAGCGTGTCTTTCTGCAGCTGTAGGAAGTCATTCATTTTTTTGCCATCTGACCAGCAGCAGCAGCAGCACTGTCCGGGGGAATGTTGTCTGCAAATCTCTGTGGTATGGTGTGAATGCAGAAGGGGGGAACTAACCGCTGTGGAGTGGAAGCATCCGCTGTGTCTTATATTACACCTCAGAACAGTCGGGTTCATTCAGTTTTTCAACGTCAGCACTCCTGGAGGTATTACAAGCATGCCAAAGGTATGTCCATTCAGTCCTGATGGGTTGTAAACACATCTCGAACATGTCCACTGTGTCTGCAGACAATATTTACGTCCACACTTGATGTTGCTTGTAAAAACCTGCATAACTTTCACTAATCACGAAATAATAACAAACGCTTTTCTGTTGATGAGCAATCACATGGAATAATTAAAGCCAACACTAATCACAATAACATCAGATTTTATTAGGGAAGTCAATTGGATGTCAAATAAACTAAGAACTCATTTGAGAAAGTTTGATTTAGTCTTTACTGGAAAAATAATTCCATTTTCATACTTTGTTAAATATTCAAGAGATTTGAGCAGCTCAGCGAGTAAAAATAGACGCAGAATATTTAGTATTCCCTCTAGATTTACAGATTTAAATCAGATACAAACTGCAGCGTTATCGCCTCTTTGAATCATCCAGGCTCAGTCAGATTTGATGCAAATGGAAATTCTTGCAAGCGTCTAATTACAAAACACACATTTTAAGGAGGAAATTATTTTCAGGCTCCGGAGATGCGTGTCAATAAGGCAGGAGTGAAGTCAAACTGATTTGATATCCCGAGCATATATCAAAAATGCATTGTCAGGTAGCTGTTTGTCCTCCTTTAAATAGTCTCCTAAAAAGTTTGTGTTCTGGTTGTCCAGATTAGGCCTTGGCATGTGCTATGGTTGTCCCCTTTGCTCCGGCTCGTCTCCTGAGGTGCCGACCGGGGAGTTTTGTCTCCCCGCAGTCTGCTGTCACTCACGCTGGACGAGGTGGCAGCTCAGGCTCTGCTGTGTGGGAGAGCTTTGTGACACTTCCCTCATCTCCTCCTTTGATCCCCTAATTGATTGACTACAGGAGCAGAGGATAAACAGAGCCCACAAGAGCCGATTCCACTCGCCTCTCTGGAGTGGTTTAGATAAAGTGCAGAGGCCCGGGTGCTCCTCTCTCCTCTCTCACTCTTACTCTATATGGACACAGGGGCCATTGAAGGTGTCTCTATGCCACGGTGGCTTAGCTTTGGGGGCTGTGTCCTCAGGCCCGGGCCTCGCGTACTGCCCCTGTGCATAAATGGCCGGGGCGGTAATGGGTTTGTTTAGATCACAGGGATGGAAATGAAACTCCTGAGCCTCGCTGTAGAGAACCAGGAGGCCCCTATCGCTCAGGAGGCAGCGATAGAGGAAGCCACAGCCTCAGCCCGGTCATACTCACATTTCAGATTGAGCCATGGAATAGAGGCTCTGATTCAGATCTCATTTAGAGACCGAGCTCTTGAACCTGGTCATGCTGTGATAAATAACCTGCTGCTGAAGAGCGAGGAAAGCCGTGAAGAAGAAGAGGAAAAAGATGGAAGAACACAAACAGCCATTTTGGGGCCTTCAGAGGAGAAAAAGAGGCCAGGAAAATGTCTCCATTTTTAAAAGAAAAGTGTGTTTGAAAACATGACTTTAGAATGATTTACAGCAGATATGATAATTATATTCTAATTTCACAAATCTGTCTTCAGAAAGAGAGTTCAGAGCCGTGTGCAGGTATGCTAAGAAATGATTAAGAGATGCTCTGGGGGTCTTGGTTTTATTCTTTGAGATTATGTGTCACGGGGAGTAAAAAAGCTCCCAGCTGTCGCCATGAAAGCACTTACAGTATAATAATCCCCTAAATCCTGTAATTATGCCAGCATACGCCGTGTACCTGAGCCGCAGCTTTGTGCTCGTCACCTCCAGGATCCCACTGACACAGACACAGACGCACAGCTTGCTGCGCATATATCTCCTGCCCAACTGCGTGTTTTGCATAGGGAGAAAATCTTATTTTCAGAACATTTTAGGTATTTTAGATTTCATGGTCACCCCTCTCAGGTATTATAGATAGACAATCTGTCATGTATAAGGAAAGAGCTGGAGCTTAAAGAGGGTATTGTCATAGCTTAAAGTTTCCTGATTAAACAGGAATGTGTCCCAGTTATAAAATGATTCATATTTATTGTGTTTATAAGAGTTTCTGATGTTCCATCTGAAATATATTGTCAATAGTGTGCACCAGTACACACAAACCTCCCTCACAGCAGAGCTTTAAAAATGGAGAAAGAAGAAATGAGTCCAAGTAAAAAGTTGTAAATCTAAGAAATCTTTGCGAGATAAAAATCACTGTGAAGCCGAGCTTGTTTAACATTCACAATCTAAGCTGTGCTCTCAAACTAATTAATATTAATAACAAAAATGGAAATGAGTGGAGTGGCGGCCCTGAGTGAAGAACAAGCTGGGTGCATTCAGTCAGGAGATTCATATATAAGCCCTTTCTCAGGAGAGGTGGGCTCCAAACAGGCGTGACGGCGGGGCATAGACCGCCATACACAGTGACAATTTTTCTAGATAATAGCCTATCACGCAGGATACAATTTAAATTAAAAAATGCAATTTTCACCTTGAAATGAACAAATGATTACAGTTTCTATACAAATTAAGGCATCCAGGCTGCGCCTCAGTACTGTGCCAAGGCCATGAAACCTGACATAATTACCATGAAATACATTTTCAAATATTTGTATTTTGTCCATCGCTTTAAAACATGCCACTCTGCCTTCTGCGGGCTTGTGATCTCACCTTCTGGGGGGAAATACATAAAAAAGAGAGAAAATCATCAGAGATGAAAAGCTCTTCAACAGGAGAGATAAAAATGTGGAAAAAAACAACCTCCCATACACAGAGAAAATCGGCGCGGCTCAGCACAGCGGCCCCCCGAGCTATCTCTAAAAGCCAAATTACTGCTCCTTATCTAAGGAATCATATCTACTAGTTATCTGCTCCTGAGATAGACTCCTCTCTCCCTCTCTCTCCCCCCTCCCTCTCTCTCTCTCATGCTCATCGCCAGAGATGCTATTTATTTGTGATTACAGACTCCCTTTGAATAAAAGATGTTTGTGTTTGAGATCCAAAGTTTGGGTAGATTGTGAACTCCTCAGATTCTTCAGAGGGGAGAGTATTGAAGGCAGAACACCTTATTTTGGCGGGGCTGCTGGGGGTGGTCTGCTGCAGAGAGAGGGATGAAAGTGTAGCCGATGGGAAATATGAGACAAGACCTCAAACTTCTCTGACGCTTCATATCACATATGCTTTCAGAGGGGATTCATACTGAGATGAGGTGTCGAATTGACTTTAAATGCATAAACCTTGTGTTCGAAACACACGGAGACGGGAAGCTCTGGCATGTATTTTTGCAGAAAGCTGCCAAAAGCTGCGAAGTTTGGAGTTTTCAGAGTTTTCTCTGCTCAGAGGTATTAGTGTGAGGAAAAATATAAAAGTATGACATCAGATTTCTGAAAGAGAAACGGGGCTAAAACATGAGAAAAAACATAAAATACATGCAGTAGGATGAAAACTAACAGGATGTGTCCGAATATTGAACATGACTTTGAACTTGATGTTCAGTTTAGGTACAGGATTTTTCATCTTTAAAATAAGTGCTCATATAATTGAGTCAAATGGAAGCTTTTAATTTCATCTCTCTCATCTTATTGTTCCTTTTACCCCAAATAAATGAATAAAAATTAAATAAACCAGGATGAAGCTGATTGTCAGAGTCCAAAAAATCCATCTTGAACTTTTTCTCACCCACAAACAAACTCTTATATTGTGAAAAAACTACTTTTTTCAACTCCACTCTATAATGGCTGACAGTTCGAGATGTGTCCTCCTTTAAACGCCGCCTTTTCTCCTTCCACTTCTTACCTTTCCCTCTCTTTCCCTCCATCTGTTGGAGTCCCTCAGCCTGAGAGGCGCACATCAGATTTCAATAGTTGACCTCTTAATGCTGAGGTCAGTGCAGCACCGGCAGCGATTTCACACTAAAGATGAAAGGGAAATGAACACTGAGGATGCTGGGGGTGACACGGAGGCCCTGACCACGCAAAGCCACAGCCACTCTGACCGCTTCACCGCACCACGAGCTGAGAGTAGCCGGGAGGAGGAGGAGGAGGAGGAGGAAGAGGTATGAAGATGGAGGTTTACCACCTGTATAAGGATGGAAGATGCTACTGTAAGGAACATTAATTTTGTAAAGATGTAGGTAACCCCTGAGGGTTGCTGCTCATGCCCTTTACATGCAAAAAAGAGTTTTGCAACAATACAAAAAAACTCCTGCTGACTTTTAGCATGTCTAGAATATCACTCTTTGTTGCTTTTTGTGCTAAAATATCCTGTTTAAGCTCCTGTGGAGAGTTTCAAGCTGGTTATGAGACAAACTGATATGAATACTGATGCCTTTGACCTAGAAAAACAAAAACATTGGCATCGATATGGACTTTTTTTGGGTCTGCGTTTTGCCTGAAACCATGGCTGCAGGGTCAGTGTCAGACATGATTAATTTCACACCTCCAAATCAGCTCTATTCATTTAATTATTTATTTAATTGTTTATTTTTTTGTTTGTTTGTTTATTTATTCTCCAGTGCAAAGTTTATTCATGATCAATACATCTGACTGTACGTCAAAATCATTACTACTCTAAAGTCTCAAACAGGAGCTTTAGTTACCAGACTTCCTTTTTGTAATCATGTTTAAAATACATCTTTATTAAGGTATTATTTTATTTTTAATTTATTTCTATATTTTTATATTTCATTTAGGTATAAAACTTGTCCAAATGTGATTAAAACCGGATTAGCCATCACTCCATTTTGTATGATGTGTTAATAAGACAGATGTGTTAATAGCTGTACTGTCACTTTAAGACGTTCCTGTTTACCTGACGTCATCTCTGCGTCGTTTCCACACCGCGCTACGCTAAGCTAAGCTAGCTCAGAGGAGGTAAGGACCGTGGTTTTCTCATTGTTAAGCACTAATATCGTTTTATGAGTGATAACAATGTAGTAGAAATGACATTTAAAGTGACTCCAAAGACTGTGAACAAACAGGGAAGCTGTGGAGTTTGAAAGTAAACATTGTTAGCGCCTTTTAAATATTTACTTTAAGACACATTTGTTCTAAGAGCTACATGCTTTCCCTGTGTGACAGCTAGGGATGGGAATTGATAAGATTTTATTAGTTTTATTGATTCTGCTTATTGATTCAGTTCTTTAACAATTCCCTTATCAGTGCTGTAGGTTTTCACCGTTAACTCAAAATATTATGGAGTCTTTGATAACAGAAAAAGATTTTTGCAGCCTTCAGTGACAATCTAAAATAATCAAACAAAACTGCTATTTGTACTTCATTTCTGGCCTGCATTGTGCTTATGTTGACACAGGACATACGTTAGGGTGACCATATTAAGAATCCCCAAAAAGAGGACATTGCTACGCGGACTTGTGTGCGAAATTTTGAGGGTTTTTTGGGTCGGGTCGAGTGTTTTTTATATGCTTCTAACTCAGTTAAACGCATATTCTGAATTCCCAAGGACAGTGCATGCGTATGTCGTGTCAGTGGCTTTGCTTAGAAGTGAGCGAAGGGGCAGAGCTGCAGAGAGCACCAGTGAGAAAGGAATCGTTTGGGTAAAACGTAAATTGAACCTTTTGGAACGGATTCTCGATTCCCATCCCTAGTGACAGTTCGATGTAGGAGTTAGAGACATTTTCACGTTTAAGTAACTTCCTTGTCTGATGGCAGCCATAAATATGTTGAATATTAATATGTATTCAATTTCTAGCGTAAGATCTCGTTTGCTTTTGTGACTTATGATTTGCTAAAGGAGAAGAAAAGGTTCACTTTAATTTTCAATTGCATCAGAATGAACTACAATCTGTTTAATAAGTGGCAAAATGTTGTAGGAAGACATTAAAATAAGGAGCCAAACAGAGGCCGAAACGCCGTAATGGACTTTATCCCTGTGGTCAGGTTTAGTGAGTGATGTCCTGTGTGACTTGATCTCTACCGAAACCCTCTTTCCTTCCCAAACTGCTGAATCCTGACACATTTTTCCTCTCCACTTAATGGACCCTGGTCATTTTAAAAAGTCTCTTGATTCTCAGCGTCCAACTCCCTGCTTCCCCGCCTGCCCGCCCGGTTGCGAGCTCTCGTTACCGCCGCATTTCTCTGAGGCCATTATTGAATGAGCAGTGAGACAAGGCGAGCGGTGAAAGGACAGTTTGGTTACACCGCCGCGAGGCTCCAGCTCCTCAGTGTAATGTAGCGCTTAAGTACCTGTCAGCTTTATAAAAGAGGGAGTAGACTGTGTAAATGTGTGTGTAAATAGAGTGTCAGATCAGGACCCCAGGGAGCGGAGGTGGGGGAGTGTGCATGTGTGTGTGAGAGCGCGTGTGTATTTTTGTTCACTGGTGCATATGTGTGTGCATGTGAGTGTCACATTAATGATCGTTTAACCCTCCTCGGCATTCCCCAGGGCTCCACGTCCCCCTCTCTGCGACTTCATGGCGTTCCAGTCCAGGCAGTATCTCTCTGTCTCTCTCTCTTTCTCTTTTTTCTCTC